TTCATACTATTTTAGCTATTGTAGCATTCTCCACGTAAAACCCCGGTAGTTAATTAAAAGTCATATTTTAGATTAATTTGTAAATAACTTCTTGTCTACCCTTGAGAGCATAAACTCTGAATAGTATTAGACACCAACAACCATATCTTCCTTAAAAAGGCAAAATTTTTAGTGTGAAAAAGGAGCCTTAATGGAAATGATTTCCAACTGAATGAAGCCCAGAGTAAAACAGGTCATTTTAAGAAGCAAATAACACCTCACCTTGTGCACTGGAGTCTTCTGGAGACCATGTTGGTAATGGTGTTAGCTGGTGTTCACTAATGACTGGTTTACTAATTGTCTTTGTACACTACTATCTTAACACAACTGAAGGATGGCATTTGGTTAGTGTTAGCCAAGAATATGGTGCTAATTTGCTGAACTTGAACCCCTCATCCACTAAGAGAGTCACTGGAGGCTTTTCTCCACTAGGAAGTGCTCCTCTCTTTTTGCCTGCAGCTCTCAGTGCTGGAGGGGGACACCTCCCCATCCTGCCTGGCTGGGTCTGCACACCTCAATGCCCTCAGCTTTAGGATAGAAGTTCTGACAAGGGTGTCATGCCGCTACCTGGGCTAAGTCAGACCACCTGCTTCACCAACAGGTTCACGTCTAATGGACTTTGGGCTTAGCCTCTGTTTCTTGTATTTGAAATTCAGTGAAATTAATTGATCTAAACTGAGGGGTGTCTGTAAATCTCTGCTCTTGTTTCTGCTCACTGGTGAAGCTTTGTTTTGGTTGTGGTACCAGATGGAGTCCAGGGCCTCATGCATGCTGAGCAGGAGCTCTAACACTGAGCTGTACCCTAGCTTTCACTTGTGTTTGATAATCTCTGGGTGGACTTTTTCCACAGTTATATGTGCTGGTTTTGAACACTGTGTTCCTATGTAACATGGGATGGATTTCCTTGTGTGCATTTTTTTTTTTTCACAAGTGGTACAGACAAAATGGATGGTCTTGTGTCATGAGGCTCAGATTCTAATACTTACAAAAAACCTGTTGGATTCAAGACAAGAGAGGGCGATGGAACATTAATGCTCATGTTCCATCACCCCTTATATGAGACATATGTAAAAACTTAAACTGAGCAATTTTTAGGTGTCCTATACAGTTTTATAGGTTTTCACAGGTGTCCTAGACAGAGGGTGGGACATGATGGGTCAGTCACAAGACCACCTGAGTAGTGTTGATAAAAAAAATGGCTAGCACGCATGGTGGCAGTGAACACAGAGCATGTGCTGTTAGGGAACGGGCTGGTCTCAGGAGAGCACAGGCTCTTAGATACACACACAGCAGTGGCGGGGTGTCAAGGTGGCTAGGCCTTGCACCTCTGTCTGTGGGTGTGTTTGGAGTTAAAAGCAGCACAAAAGAAGGTAGGAGATATGGAGGTGGAGGGTTTGTGGGTCTCCCCAGACACCCATGATTTGTATTTCCATTGTGCACCAAGCATTTCGTCTTTGGTTGGTGGCTAGTGCTGGGCGTCCCTGTGGCAAGAGGATGGCGGTGCTGCAGCAGCTGGCCCTCCTGCTGTGGAAGAACTACACCTTGCAGGTGGGTCCAGACCTGGAGGAAGAGTGGCCCCAACATTCAGCTGATGCAGGGGTCCGAGGGTGCCCTCCAGGGAGGAGCACATGTCATCAACACAGTGGTCCTTTCTCTTCTAGAAGCGGAAGGTTCTAGTGACAATCCTGGAACTCTTTCTGCCCTTACTGTTTTCTGGGATCCTGATTTGGCTTCGTTTGAAGATCCAGTCAGAAAATGTGCCCAATGCTACGGTCTACCCTGGTCAGTCCATCCAGGAGCTGCCCCTGTTTTTCACCTTCCCTCCGCCAGGGGACACCTGGGAGCTCGCCTACATCCCTTCCCACTCTGAGGCTGCCAAGACCATCACTGAGACTGTGAGAAAGTCCCTAGTGATCAACATGAGAGGTGAGACCACGGGAGTCACCAGGAATTCCTGCAGTGTGTCACCTCAAGCCATGGATTCAGCCCCAGCACCTGGGAGAGAGCCCTGTTTGGAGCCCCAGCCTGAGTAGCTCAGCATCTCCTCTCATTGGCTGTGTCACCCGTTGAACTCTTGGCTCCCCTGCACCCATTTCTCATTATACAGCAGGGCTCAGAACCCAGAGCCTTGCAGCCACACCTGGTGTAGTAGCAGGGGCTTGGGTGGATTCAGCCCAGCAAAGCCCTCTTGACAGAGGGCAGAGTGCAGTTTGAGTCTGTGCACAACAAACCTTTTCTGGCATGTGGTTTTGGGGGACAGCTGCAAAGGTCACTGGAGAGCCCATTGAGGGAAACACCAGGAAACGGTGCTGGCACCTTTTTTGAGGTATTTCCCTTGGGAGTGGGACTGTTGTCCTTCCCCTGCTCTTGCTGGCATGTGCTCCTGCTGGCATGTGGCCCGGTGAGCTCAGCTAGGGGCTGCTCCTTGGCTCCCACCAAATGACTACAGGAAGGTGCTTCTGTCGAGTGTTGGGATGATGGAGAGATCATTTCAGAAACAGAAAGTTCCACTAAAATTGCTAGGGCCACGGTGGTTATGAGAGAAAGAAGCTGCCCCTCACTATAGACCCAGCCCAGGGTTGTGACAGTTTTTTGAGACTTGGCTTTGCTGCCACCTCAGTGACCAGTCCTGCCTCAAAACCATGGCAGGAGAGCCTACCTCCCAGGGCCCAGTGACTAAAGGTTCTGCCCATCTACGGTGGCCTGTCTCTGTGCCAAGACAAAGCTACCGGAGTCTCAAGGAAGGTTTGTAGAGCCCTAGAGTTTTGTCAGTTTGCCATCTCTTATCTGCAAAAAATGGCCTGACACTCCTGGGTTTCTGGGATAGAGGGGACGATTGGGCAACCAGGGGCTCCTTGCTCTGTCCACAGTGCGTGGCTTTCCCTCTGAGAAGGACTTCGAGGACTACGTTCGGTTCGACAACCACTCCTCCAATGTGCTGGCTGCCGTGGTGTTCCAGCTGGCCTCCAACCACAGCAAGGAGCCCCTGCCGCTGGCGGTGAGGCCCCAGGCGCCGGTGCTTCCTCACCACTACTCCACCTAGAATGGCCTGCTTATCTTCCTGGGAGTAAACATGAGACTCTGAGTCAAGTGCCACCACCCAGTCCCCACTGACTTTTAATCCTATCACCACAGAACCGTTTAGAAAGTCTACCCACCCATTGGCCATTGCTTCAGGCCCCTCTCGTTCTCCCATTTTATAAAATGCATTACTGGTCTCCAGGGCTGTTGGATAGAGGCATTCAGGGTAGGTGGGAAAGTAGCAGCTGTTAAGTATTATTTGGGGGGAAAAAGGAAGCTGTTTGCCTTCCTTAAGTCATTAAGACTGGGAAGCTTCTTGCACAATGTTGGTGGCCCTCCAATGATCCCACATTGGTGGCCATCAATGACATGTCTGTCCAACATGGCAGTCATGTTGCTAGCAGGAAAGAGAGGAGTGACTATGAACACTCTGGAGATGCCCTGCAGGGTTCCTTGCCCCTGCTGGGTTGGACTGCTCTCTCCTTCAAGCCTTTGACATCCTAGCCACTGGGGCATTTTCACGGCAGGGCATGGTGAGTTCTTGGTGGCGCCAGCCCTGGTGATAAGAGGCTCAGGAACTCACCCTCATTGGCCTAAAGTATCTGTTCCTATCTCTGCAGAACGGTTGGTGTTCTCTTTGTTTCTGCAGGTGAAATATCACCTACGCTTCAGCTACACACGAAGGAATTACATGTGGACCCAAACTGGCAACTTCTTCCTGAAAGAGACAGAGGGCTGGCACACCACTTCCCTTTTTCCACTTTTCCCAAACCCAGGACCAAGGGAACCTGCATTCCCTGATGGTGGGGAACCTGGTGAGAAGCACTTTTAGGGGCCACATTACCAGCCCTGAGCTGCTAACTGTAATGACAATTACATGGGGGTAAACCTACCTCTTATCTCTCTGCGGAAATACTTCTAAGGAATGTTAATCTTCTTGTTTGTAAGAGGAGAAAATAAATACCCAGTAAAACTGGCTTCTGAAAGGCTGAAATAAGCTGTGGAAAGAGCCAGGGCTCTCTCCCATATCCCAAAAGACCTGTGCCCTTGAATGAAGCATTTATGTCTCAGTTTTTAAGAAACTGCAGTATGAATTGGCTCTGTAAGGCTTGGTTTTACAGGTCCCTTCCCTTCCTGGCCTTCTCTGCAGCCTGTAGGCTTTTGGAGGTCTCCAGACCATGGCTTCATTGAATCTGTGACTTGTATAAAAGCTGGATCCAAGCTGCTCCGACTCCCGCCCAGTGCATGTTGTGGTCTGTACCATGTGGCTTTGGCCGGCAGCTGAGAATGTTTGCCTCCACTGGAACCAAGGAGTGGCTGAGACCCAGAACCCAGGGTTAGATGTAGCCCTCAGGCCAAGACTGACTAAATGTTCTGGGTGGAGATCCAAGGGTTCTGAAGAACACAGTCATCCACAGCACCAGGCAGCCAGGATCTTCCCATGTGCAGCAGCATTTAGAGACCCCTGTTGCTGGTGTCAGGGCCCATCCAGAGGTTAATGCCCAGGGCAAGATTTTAAATCCAGAAGAGAAACTTAGATGGGCAAGGCAAGGTGTAGAGTGTGAGGGGCCCCAGAATGGGACCCTAGCCATGTTACCAAACCTGAGGCTCAGGAGAGACTCACTCTAAGCACTAGTGATGCTGGCTGCTGAGTCCCAGATGCTGGGTTGGAATGCCTTAATCTCTTCCTTCTTGTCAGGGATAAATTCCAAGCCTGGAAGCAATAGAAAAGTATATCTGAGGCAAGGGCGGACAGATTGCAGTCTGTACAAACTCAAAGTTTACCAACAAAGAAAAAGTCCTAATACTGATTCTAAAAGCAAATAGGAGACTGGGGAAAACCTCTCTGGCAGATGACAAAGGTCAGATGTCCTCTTTTAGAAAAGGACTCATACAGATTATTTAGAATAACACAAAAGCCCCAAGAGATGGTTGGCAAGGGTGTGACTGTGGTACGTGGCAGGTCAATTCTAGCTGTTTCCACCCCAGATAGATGTCCATGCCTCAGACCCACTAATACCCCTGATGAGAATTCAGCTCTCAGAATAATCTGAAAGGAGAAAAAATACACACACCCCAAGATGTTCACCACATCTTTGTCTAAGGTCATAAACATTTCCACAACAGGAAAATGAATGGTCATACAGGAGATGGCTTCATGCCTCAGAATATTGAGCTTATAGGTCATACAGGTTATGGCAATGAGAACATAGCTGTTTGTTGCCATCTCCCAGGAGAACAGCATGTGAGCAAGTAGCAGACAGGGATTTGTGGGGGAGATGGTGAGATGTCATGAAAAACACAACTGAAGCCAAAGTGCCCAAGGCCCCACGCTCAGCTCTACCTGTCCCCAGTGGTGTGACTCCGAGGGCTTCAGTGTTTCCATCTTTCTAATGGGGATATCACCACTGCCCTGAAGTTTTTTTGTGAACATGAGAATTAAACCCCGACCCAGTACTATCCTTGGCACACCTTCAGTGATTAATTGAATGTGTACTACTAGTGCACTGTAAAATCTGGGAGAGACAGAAGGACATGTCCACTTGGTAACCTTGAGTTGGGGGCGCAGTGGCATGTTGCTTTTGCTTTTTTTATGTGGTATTGGGGATAGAACCACCCTTCCAAAGCCACACACTCGGCCCTTTTTATTTTATTTTGAGACAGAGCCTCACTAAGTTGCTGAGGCTGGCCTCGAGCTTAGAATCCTCTAGTCTCAGCCTTCCAAGTCACCAAACCCCTCTCTTCTGATTCTACCTCTGCAATGAAAGGTCTCAGCCACTTGCCACCTAGAGTCATGGTTGGGTGCCAGGGCTGTCAGCTTCTTTCTCTTGGCTGACAGGCTGGCTGCTGGGGTGACATTCAGAACCAGTCCTCTCACCAGATGAGGGAAACACTTTCCTGATCTTCAGACTTTCTTGTTGTCCCTATCTCCCCTAGCCTAATTCTTGGTATGTTCTTTCCTAGTGTATGTTTTACCTAACTTTTATTTGTTTAGAATCGCATCAGACCCTATTGGGGTATTCAGGCTCTCCAGGCAAGTTCATATCCAGGGTGATTTAAAAATGTGATCATATTTGTAATCTTTAAGTGTGTCACATTAATTAAGATGTGGAAGTGACAGTGACCTTGCTTCTCTCCGCTGCTATCAGCATGGGCTCATTCTCTGCCTTCTTTCATGGGGCCACTGTACAGTGCCAGGCGCCACCAGGGCCCCAAGCAAGAGGTTGTTAAGTTGCTCTGTTGCCTCCTGCACCCCTTCTTCTGGAGGCCCCAGGGTTAGCCCTGGTGCCCTTCTGAGCTCACAGCTCCCGAGCAGGCAGCACCTGTGACATGTTGTCTTTGGCTTCTGTGCTCAGGATACATCCGCGAAGGCTTCTTGGCAGTGCAGCACGCCGTGGACAAGGCCATCATGTACTACCACGCCAATGCCTCTGCACATCAGCTGTTCCAGAAACTCACTGTGGTCGCCAAGAGATTCCCGTTTCCACCATTCATCTCAGACCCCTTCCTTGTTGCCATCCAGTACCAGCTGCCCCTGCTGCTCATGTTGAGCTTCACCTACACCTCCCTCTCCATCATCCGGGCTGTAGTGCAGGAGAAAGAGAGAAGACTAAAGGTAACTCTGTGCATGGCTTTGTAACATCCTTCCACATTGATCCTGGGGGCCGGGCCACCATGTGGTATGTCCAGGGCTCCTTCAAAAGAACTGGCCTTATTTTGAGGCTACCCTGCTCTTTGCCAGGGCTCCTTCCCATGGCTGGAAACACAAGAGTCCGGGCAGAGGGTGGATGCCCTCTGTGGCTCCAGCCTGTCTTGGCTTCTTTAAAATCAAGCTGGTATGCCTGGATTCTTAAAACCCTCTGAAAAGGGGGCACGGTGGTGAAGGCCAATAATCCCAGCAACTCAGGAAACTGAGGCTGGATGATCACAAGTTCAGGCTAGCCTCAGCAACTTAGTGAGACCCTGTCTCACAATAAGAAATGAAAAGTGCTGGGATGTAGTTCAGTGGTAGAGCACTTGCCTAGATGTGCAAGGACCTGTGTGTAAACCCCAGTACTGGAAAGAAAGAAAACTCCTATGAAGCATGGTAGTTTACATGCAGAACACCACCATGAAGGTGGTCCTGGAGCTGCATTGTCCAGGTCTGGAGCCTCAAGCCCCAGAGGACTTCAAACACTCATAGTGCTCCTGGTCACAACTGAGATGCGCCAGAAGTATAAAGGGCCACCAGATTTGAAGACAGCACAGAAAGGATTATAAGCTGTCTCACTAGTAATTTTTATATTGCTTGTGTTTCAAAGACAATACTTTGAATATATTGGATTAAGTAGAACACAACTGAAATTAACATTACTCATCTCTCTTGATGTTTTTAATGTAGCTACTATAAAATTTTCATTCTGTGCTGGATGGTGCAGCTCTAGGGATTGAATCAACAGGGAGAGAAAATGCTTAAATATAGAGCCAAACAATCAGCATTGCATGTAGATCACAGACAGGCACAGTCACTGGTAGTTAGTCACAATAATGGAAGTGTCACTGTGATGTCACAACCTGACTTGATGAGGAAGAGCCGCAGGAACAGTCACTTATAGAGTCATACACTGACACTGCCATCACCCAGGACTTTCTGCATGCAGTTCCTCCCCTAGGAGTGTCCTTAGTGCTGGTGGAAGACACTTAGAATGTTCTCAAGGGTTCCAAGCCTGTGGTTGTTGGAGGTTTTAAACTGCCACAGATGAGAGGCTGGGAAACCCCCGAGGGGGGCAGTGACCTGCTTGGGTGCCTTAAATAACTTTAATAAAAACAGTGGAGGTAGCTGGAAGTGAACTACAAAATGATTCAGAGAGAATGAACATACACACACATTTGTAGATAACACAAATAAGAAAAGTGTTGCCTGATTATTGAGTCAAGGGCATTGATTTTTCTGAAGGTTTAAAATTGTGCATAAGAAAAGGCTGGAGGGCTGGGGCTATGGCTCAGTGTGCAGCACTTGCCTAGCATGTGTGAGGCAATGGGTTCGATTCTTAGCACCACATATAAAAATGAATAAAATAAAGTCCATTGGCAACTAATAAATAAATAAATATAAATAATTTTATGAAAAAGGGGTTGGAAAATCAGCAGCCTGGCCTCATGCCTGGCATGTAAGTCACTTAATCAGTCCTGGCCCCACCGTCCCATCCAGTGCTATGAAGTGGAGCCATCCACCATGATGGACATGTCCTTTATCTGCTGACCACTACATTTGCCATGAAATACTTGAAATAAACTCAATTTTTAACTACTCAATTTTAGATGACTTTAGTTGAAAGAGCCACACGTGGCCCCAGCACACTCTGGATGACCAGAATTCCTGGGCAGTCTGGCCTGTGGAGGATCTGGGCTTCCTCACAGCTCCTCTTGATAGCTGAAAGGCAGGTGAGGAAGGAAGGTATAGTCAGAGCCAATGCCGATCATGGTGTCATCTTCCCTTCTAAAAGGAGGGGCCCTTCCCCAGGGAAGTTCTTGTTCCCCACTTTCAGAGCTTCAGGAGGTCAGGGAATATGTACCTGCAGCTTCTAGCATGTGTGCAGAGCCAGTCTGATATGAGGTGATGTTTCACAGTCTAGGGTGCTAATGTCAGTGTGGTCAGTGTGGTCAGTAGCTTGTAAAGTCTTTCTGCCAACCTGGGGAGGGGTCTGACTGAGCTGATGGTGGACCCCAGTACCAGCTGCACACCAACAGCTTCTAGGGAACAGGTTCCATGCAAGAAAAGAAAGCATTGCAGGAGTTTGGATTGCTCCACAGGACATGGGGCACCCTGCAGGACACTTGAGGGTTACCAGCTTAGTCATCATGTGTTGGAGGCTCACATCAGGCCCCCACAGAGACACAGGTAGAGAAGGGGTGTTCCAATAAGATGGAGCTCAGTGGGCCCAGTCAGGAAGATAGGGACAGATCTCTACCATAAGGAAAAGCCAGGTTGTTGCCAAGCAGAGGGCAGCGGGACAGGCTGTGACGTTGGGAGAAAGGGACAGTTGATCCCAGTCAAGGACCAGGAATGGCCTTCCAGATGCAGTAGCGTATAAGACTGGAGAAAAGCAGGAGGGGCAGGACTTGTATACCTCAGGGCTGAGAGCTGTTGAGTAAGGGGGGACATGACTGTCAGACTTGGGCCTTCTACTCTCCAGGCCAGGGTGTGCTGCATGGTTCCTGCCTCTGGTCCCCAGCACAGGTGTCCTGGTCCTCTCTCTTGGTGGGTGGACACTGCACTGTGCACAGACATGCCAGAGTTCAGATGGTGGGCAGTAGGTTGCAGGCCTAACCACCCTTCTCTCTGTAGGAGTACATGCGCATGATGGGGCTGAGCAGCTGGCTGCACTGGAGCGCTTGGTTCCTCATGTTCTTCCTCTTCCTCCTCATCGTGGTCTCCTTCATGACCCTGCTCTTCTGCATCAAGGTGAGACTGATTTGATGGGAACCCTGATGAGAAGAGGGTGTAAAGACCCCTGCTCTTGGGCTGGCATCTACTTTGGGAGGATAGTGTCTCTTAGCCACTGACCTCACCCTGTCCCCAGGGGCAGGGTGGCAGCAGGGCTTCCTGCTTGCTGAGGTGAGGGCTCCTCCTGTCCTCAGTAGTGTCTCTCTGGCTGGGACCTTTAGGCTTCTCCTAGTCTACCTCTGCCTTTCTTGACCAACCCACATCTGGCCCTGGCGGCCTGTCCTGCAGGTGAAGAAGGACGTGGCAGTGCTCTCAAGCAGTGACCCCTCCCTGGTGCTGGCCTTCCTGCTGTGTTTTGCCATCTCCTCCATCTCCTTCAGCTTCATGGTCAGCACCTTCTTCAGCAAAGGTGAGTCATTTTTCTCCCCCAAAGGCAGAGGACCATGGGGGTAATCCAACTCTTGGGAAACTGAGCAGATTTATGCAAAGTTAAGGGGTTAAAGGTATTGAAGCAGGATGACCCAGAGACTGAGCTGCCAAAAGCGGGGATACCTGAAAGGCTAGGCTGGACTTAATGGGTTAGATCACTGAGGGACAGACTTATAGGAACTCAACAAAGGCCCCACCACAGAGCTTCATGGGACTTCCCCCAGGAAGGAGCTGGAAAAAGGACAGGAGACAGAGCACCTGGTGTGGGCCAGGCAGAAGGGTGAGAGAGGCTTAGAGTAAAGAGGAATTGGCAGAAGGCAAGTGTGGATGCCAAGTTGGATGCTAATAGGAGCCAAAAGCGAGGGCTAATCTATTCACCCACCTTACGATTGCAGCTACATTTGAGGTTATTTCTGCTGTCTGAATTCTTCATGTTCTATTCATCGTTTCTCTTTGCCACCTTCTGTTGGACTGAGAATTCCCTCTAGTTCTTCCACCTCTGATGGTTTGAAAATGTCAATTGCATTTCTCTTCTTTGGGTGATTATCCTGAGTGTTGAACTTAAATACTTACCTTTGAAATTTCCAGAAAGTTAAGTCAGTGTGTCTAGACTCCTCCCAGGTTTGCCTCACCTGTGCCACACAGAGTGTCACTGACAGTCCCTGAGCCTTCTACTGTGCCATCTGCTTCATCGTCACCGTCTGCTTCATCATCTAAGAACATAAGCAGTTGGTAGCTAATCTGCATTCATGTGCACGTTTCGTGTGTGCACTACTTTTGTGTGTGTGTGCTCTGCTCCTTTCGAGTTGTTGTAGGTTGACTTTTGTGCCTGAGTTGTCCTCTCTGTGGGGATCAGTGAGTGGCTAATTGTTTCTGGATGACTGGAGGTGGTGTTCTTTCACCTCACTTCTCAATGATATTTTAGCTGCATATTGAATTCTCCATGGCCAGAGTTTCTCTTGCACTGTGACGTTGCTTCATTACTACCGATACCCGTGGTGTTGGCAAATGTCCACCAGCAGTTGAGGTGTGGTTTCCCTTTACTTTCGAGTGTTTTCCATATGAGGACTTGTCTTTCCCAGTTAATATCTTGTCACATTGGCTTCGTCATCCCTGTCATTCTCTTCCTCTAGACCTTTCTCCAGGCTTCTCAAACTGTCTGTATGTCTCTGAAATCTGAGTTCCATCTGAATTCCTGAGCATTCGCTTCTGAGTGCCTAACACCCTCTGTGTGTGTCTACAGCGTCTCTCATCTGTTGAGACTTATTCCATGACTATATTTATCTTTTATGAACTATCTAGTTGATTCTTGTACATATCTACTTGTTCTTGCTTCTTTATACATTTTCTTGGGGAAAATTTCTTTTTTCAACGGAAACATTTGTTCATCTACTCCTGAAAGTCCATGGCATTCTCATTTTGAAGTTTCCCTGTTCTGCTCACACCATTTCCCATGGACAGTTTTGAGGATACTCATAATCCTCCAATTTAGATCTCCAGCTTAGGCTTCTCTCCTGAAATTCAGACTCAAACCCAGAAGCTTCCTTCCTATTGGTGCTCAATATGTGCATCTTGGCCTGAATGTGTTCAAAACTGAGTTCCTGCCCTTGTCCTCAGAAACTCCTCCCTCTTCTCTGTAAGTGTCAACTCATCCTTCTGGCTGCTCAGCCTGGAGCCTGGGCATCACCCTCGACTCCTCCATTCTCCTACGTCCTGCTCTGCATCCAGTCACCAGGGAATCCCACCCGCTCCCTCTTCTCGAGGTGTCTGAGCTCCAGTCACACCACAGCTTCCTCACTGCACACTGGGGCCCCAGCCCTGTCCTCCCTGACCTGTTTATGGTGGTAACAGCCTCAAAGTGGTCCTTCTGCTTCCACCCTAGACCTGTGTAGCCAAGTGGGTGATGCAAGTCAGAGCTTGTGTCACTTCTGCTCAAAATGTCCCCAAGACCATGTCAAGCAGAAGAGCTGAAGCCCCTGCCGTGGCTGGCTGGGTCCTGCCCGGGTGGCCACAAGCTGACTCTCTGCTGCTCCATTCCCATTCATACAGTCCCTGTCTCACTCCATTCCTGGGGCTTTTGGTTCTGCCTAGGAAAGGGACTCTCAAAAGGTGGTTGCCTAGGGATCCCCAAGGAGCCTGAATAGTGGTCAGTACTTATTTACACAGATGCCTTTTCCACTACCTTGTCCTTGGTTGAGATAGTGCAAAGGCAACATGGGTAAAACCACTGGGCCCCAGGCTTGAATCTCCACATTGCAGCTAGACCATGCTGGTCATTGTGTTCTTCACACACTCTCAGCAGACAGACAAACAAGAATGCCAGTTTCACTCAAGAACCTCCTTGGTGGAACAGATAAAATTATTAATTTTGGGCTGGGACATGGCTCAAGGGGTAGCATGCTCGCCTGGCATGCGTGCGGCCCGGGTTCAATCCTCAGCACCACATACAAACAAAGATGTCGTGTCCGCTGAAAACTAAAAAATAAATATTAAAAAATTCTCTCTCTCTCTCTCCCTCTCTCTCTCACTCTCTCTTTAAAAATATATTAAAAAAAAATTATTAATTTTATAAAATTATTAATTTTATTTTACTCCTGAATATACTTTTTTAGTATTCTAATGACAGAACAAGATGTACACATAAAGTACTAGTACTGCATACTGAGTAGGATTAACTGCAGGAGCAACGCGTACAGCTGTTTGAGTTGTCAGCTGAACTAGGCACTTTTTCATTTTTGCTTGAAGGAGTGGCTGTCAGATTATAGCTATTCACATGTAGGTATTTGATAGGCATTTTTTTTCAAATCTGAGCCCATCTCTTTTAAGGAATGTTTTATTACAGATCTGATGTCTGATGTCAAGATTTCAAGCAAAATGTAGAATTTTGCAAAGTCAATTCTAACACCACAAGCTTGACAGTTTCCCAGTAATTCAAGAGTTTTTTAATGAGGTTAGTGATATTAATGAATGCGATCTGCTTCAAAATTATATAATAAAATGTGTCAGTATTTGGAAGATCTGCATAATCCAATGAGCAATATTTTACAAACTGATGCAATATTTTACAGACACGCATCATGTTACAAAATCATGCAGGAGTAAAAATCCATTCAAAGTGCAAGGAAAGCCAGTGCCCTTTGGTGCAAGACAGTACAGCATGTTTGTTTGTTAGTTTGAATGCACGTGTGGTGTGGACTCAAATAAGAATATCTACAAGTGTCTGTAACTAATATAACACCCCTTGCTCTTCCGGCTGCTCATCTGCACTTTGAAAAAAAAAAACAATGGACACAGAGGCAACCAAGAGCATCCATCTGTGAAGTCAGATATTGCAGATGTTGCACAAATGTGAAACAATGCTACTCACCAATTGTGGGAAACATGGTTGTGTTTCATTAAAAACTTCAATATATTATGAGTTCATTATTGTCAAAATTTTAAAAATTATTTTTTAGTTGTAGTTGGACACAATACCTTTATTTTATTTATATTTATGTGGTGCTGAGGATCAAACCTAGGGCCTCACACATGCTAGGTGAGCACTCTACCACTGAGCCACAACCCCAGCCCCTATTGTCAAATTTTTAAAAGCTTTAAATGTTCTTATATTAATTTATCATAGACTAAATATAAATAACCTTTAAAAAGAAAAAAAGCCTTGGACTGGGGTTGTGGTTTAGTAGTAGAACACTCTCCTGGCACATGTAAGGCCCTGGGTTGGATCCTCAGCACCACATATAAATAAATAAATAAAATAAAGTCATTGTGTCCATCTACAACTAAAGAAAAATATTTAAAAAGAAAAGAAAAGAAAAAGCCTTTGGTGTCTTAAATAATTTTTAAGGAGGTGCTAAGTGCAGTGGCCACAGCTGTAATCCCAGCAGCTCAGAAGGCTGAGGCAGGAGGATCTTGAGATCAAGACTAGCCTTAGCAACTCATGAGGTCCTAAGCACCGCAGGGAGATCTGGCCTCAATAAAAACCCAAAAAAACAAGGTCTGGGGATGTGGCTTAATGGAAAAGTGCCCCTGGGTTTAATCCCTAGTACCACAAATACTACTACTGCCACTCCTAATTTTTTTTAATATTTATTTTTCAGTTGTAGTTGGACATAATACCTTTATTTCATTTATTTTTATGTGGTACTGAGGATTGAACCCAGTGCCTCACATGTGTGAGGCAAGCGCTCTGCCACTGAGCCACAACCCCAGCCCTCATATTCTTAACTTTTAAGGATGTGAAGATATAAAGATCACAGAGCCTGAGTGCCACAGGGTAGAGCAGTACCATGCTGTCCCCCTGCACCCCTGCCACCTGGCCACTTGCCTGTGCTGTTCCTCGCTCACTTGTGTGTTCCTCTCGAAGCCTCCCTCTTCTAGCTGGAACCTTGCCACTCTTCCCAGCCATGTCCCTGTTGAGCACTCTGCGCTTCTCTTCCCATTCCACGTGCCCTAGAATCAAGGCTTGGGAGGGGTGGGAGTTCACTCCATTTTGTGTGCAGCCTTCTCCCTGGTACCTGGAAGAGCATGTGGCACCTACCAGGTGGCATCTGATAGATGAATGAATGAACAAATGGGAGAGATTGGTCAGACAGGGCAAGAAGGGTCTCGAGTGGGAATCCAAGTTCAGCACTAGTAATTAACACGATGTGGCATGTCCAGGAGGTGACTGGGTGGGAGGCCCGCAGGAGAGGGCTGGAGACCCCAGGCAGGGTACTGTCCCAGGGGAACGGAAGAGGCTGCGATCCCTGGCCTGCAGCCCCAGCACTGGGACTTGGTTAGGGCCTAGGCTGGCCATGAACCCTGCTGCAGGCACAGCACCCTGGCAGGTTTGTACGCCCTGTGCTCTCCTCTCCCCACAGCTAACATGGCAGCAGCCATTGGCGGTTTCCTCTACTTCTTCACCTACATCCCCTACTTCTTTGTGGCTCCTCGGTACAACTGGATGACATTGACCCAGAAGCTCTTTTCCTGTCTCCTGTCCAATGTTGCCATGGCAATGGGAGCCCAGCTCATAGGAAAATTCGAAGCCAAAGGTGAGTATCAACCTCATCACAAGCTGCTCTAGCTGCCCAGGAAGCATCTCTCCAGAAGTACCCCCAGCTGTTAGACTAACCCCAAGCAATAAGCAGGCAGAGCAGCACACCAGAGCTAGGACTTCATGGCAGGTGCCTAGCTTGTCTGTCCTTCCTGGGGCTTCTGCATGTTGTTCTGGCTCTGCTGGAAGGAAAGAAGCATCTTGTACCTTCTGTAGGCTGCTGTGGCTCATGTAAGATGGTCTCGGCCCTGTCCCGTTTAGATGTTCTCTTTTAGGCCAAATGTTCTCATTTCTTCCAGCCACACATCTTGGTCTATTTGTGCTTCTATCACAGAATTCATGAGACTAGGTAATTTGTAAAGAAAAGAAACTTCCCACTGTTCTGGAAGCTGGGAAGTTCAAGACCGAAGCACTGGCAGTTTTGGTGTCCACTGAGGATCTAGTCTCTGCTTCCTGGATGGCACCTTGAATGCTGTTCCTCATGAAGAGAGCAAAAGAGTGAGGCCACTCTTGAAGGCCCTTTTTAAGACAGCATTTGTCCATTCATGAGGGCCATCTGAGGACTATTTCTAACACATGAACTTTTGGAGACACATTCAATCCGTAGCCTCTTGCAATTCCTAGCTGTCATAGTTTCCAAAGCTCTGGAACATTTAGTGTTGATTCATCTTTAATTAGAATATTTTTCTTTGGTTGGCAATGTCTTCCAGCACTTCAGCTTTTAAATATATATGTTGATGTTTAATGGTGCTTAATGGTGCTGATAAAATGTAGACTTCATAAATGAGCAGACCCTTCTAGGGCTCAAATACTTTATATATATATATATATACACACACATACATACATATATATATACATATATATATGTATATATATATATATGTATGTATGTATTTTAGTTGTAGTTGGACACAATACTTTTATTTTATTTGTTTATTTTTATCTGGTGCTAAGGATCAAACCCAGGACCTCGCATGTGTTAGGCAAGCGCTTTACCACTGAGCCACAAGCCCAGCCCCTCAAATACTTTTTTTTAATATATATTTTTTTAGTTGTAGGTGGATGCAATACCTTTTATTTTATTTGTTTATTTTTATGTGGTGCCAGAGATCAAACCCAGTGCCTCATGCATGCTAGGCAAGCACTCTATCACTGAGCCACAACCCCGGTCCCCTCAAATACTTTTTTTTTAATATTTATTTTTTAGTTGTAGTTGGACACAATACCTTTATTTTATTTATTTATTTTATGTGGTGCTGAGGATAGAACCTAGGGCCTTGCACATGCTAGGCAAGTGCTCTACCACTGAGTCACAGCCCCAGCGCCCCCTAAAATACTTTTTAAGAGACCATTTCTGGCAGTATTGGTGGTACATGCGTATGATCCCAGTTACTGGGAAGACAGGAGGATTGTAAGTTTGAGGCCAGCCTGGGCAACTTAGTGAGAACCTGTGTAAAAATTAAAATTTTAAAAAGGCCAGAGATGTAGCTCAATGCTGCCAAGCAAGGCCTTAGGTTCAATTCCTGCTACTGCAAAATAAACAACTAAGTAAATGGCCATTCTAAAGAGGAATCTAACTATATGGCACCTCTATAGTTCTATACTAAATATTTCTTTCTTTTTTTAAGAGAAAGAGAGAGAATTTTTTAATATTTATTTTTTAGTTTTCACTGGACAGAACATCTTTATTTTATTTTTATGTGGTGCTGAGGATCAAACCCAGCGCCCTGCGCATGCCAGGCGAGCGCGCTACCGCTTGAGCCACATCCCCAGCCCTATACTAAATATTTCTTAAAGCTGCTAAGTCTCTAGCTATTTGAAAGTGAGCATTCATCAGGGCTAGAGAGTAATCATATCAGTCTGGGGCCTGTGGGCCAAGAGGAGATGGCCAGAGACTCAGGTCCCCAGTATGTGTAGACTGTGATGTGGGCTAATTGTGAGCTCCACTAAATAGAGCTTCATATATGCCTGAGGCCTCTGCCTCTCAGGTTTTTTTTTTTTTTTTTTTTTTTTTTTTTGTGTGTGTGTGTGTGTGGTGTGTGTTTGGGTATTAGGAATTGAACCCAGGAGTGCTTAGTCACTGAGCCACATCCCTAGCCCTATTTTGTATTTTATTTAGAGACAAGGTCTCACTGAGTTGCTTAACACATTGATTTTGCTGAGGCTGGCTTTGAACTCATGATCCTCCTGCCTCAGCCTCCTGAGCTTCTGGGATTATAGGCATGAGCCACCACAGCCAGCCTCAGCCTTTTTTAAATTTCTTTCATTTTGATATAGGCTCTTGCTAAGTTGCTTATAGCCTTGCTGAGTTGCTGACTTTGAATTTGTGATCCTCCTGCCTCAGCCTCCCAAGCTGCTGGGATTATAGGCCTACAGCACCACACCCAGCAGGTCTCTGAGTTTCAAAACAGACTAAAATGCATCTTGGTTCACACTGATCTTCCCCAAATTGTGTGTGTGTGTGTGTGTGTGTGCACGCGCACGCACATGCATGTTTTTTGGGGGGGCGGGGATACTAGGGATTGAACTCAGAGGCACTTGACCACTGAGCCACATCTCCAGCCCCTTTTTTATATTTTATTTAGAGACAGGGTCTCACTGAGTTGCTTAGGGCCTTGCTAAGTTGCTGAGGCTGGCTTTGAACTCACAATCCTTCTGCCTCAGCCTCTGGAGCCACTGGGATTACAGGCGTGCACCACTGCGCCAAGTCCGTACATGCATTTTTACACGTCACCAAGTTAAGCACAGGCCCATCTAGTTTGTTTATGAGCTTACTTCTGGTGCTGTAACTTGCTGCAGTTGCCTTAAAGATTTGAGGGAAGTTATCAGATTTGTTATGAAGCTGGGAAGGGAAGCATACACAATGAAGCCATCAGGGTCCCTGGAGTCCTGGGCTCTCCCAGCTTGCCCACTTTGGGGCCATTTTCCTGGTTTGTCCTCCAGGCACGGGCATCCAGTGGCGAGACCTCCTGAGTCCTGTCAATGTGGATGATGACTTCTGCTTTGGGCAAGTGCTGGGGATGCTGCTGCTGGACTCTGTGCTCTATGGCCTGGTGACCTGGTATGTGGAGGCTGTCTTCCCTGGCCAGTTCGGTGTGCCCCAGCCCTGGTACTTCTTTCTCATGGTGAGTACTGATGCCCCTGCCCTTTGAGTGGCTACCTCTGTTAGGGGGTGTAGATGTCACTGCCATGGAATAGAGAACCTGCCCTGTATGTGGTGAGCTGTGGGTTGTGAGGGCCTTTGGGGTTGGTTCAGAGAGAGAAGAAGGCCCGCTCCCACCCAGGGTCAGAGCTGAGGGGACCAGTACAGCCCACCGGCCTCCACTCGCCTCCACTTGCTTCCTGGATCATAAAAAGATATTGTTTTAGGTTTTCTGCCTACAAAATATACAGCTTTTTGTACAAATGTTCAACTGAGGCATGTATAGCACTTCCCACTGTGACTCTCTAGCTGTGGCTCTTCAGGCTTGTCCTGTGCCCATATTGTCACATGGCACATGCAGAGGAACATGAGATGTAGCTACATTTGCTTCATGATCATATTTTTTTTTAAAGAGAGAGAGAATTTTAATATTTATTTTTTAGTTTTCGGCGGACACAACATCTTTGTTTGTATGTGGTGCTGAGGATCGAACCCGGGCCGCACGCATGCCAGGCGAGTGTGCTACCGCTTGAGCCACATCCCCAGCCCTCATGATCATATTTTAAAGTGCTTAAAACTTGCTTTTTTTTAACCTAACAGCACACCTTGGTATCTTCTTTTTTGATATTTTTTTAGTTGTGTATGGACACAATACCTTTATTTTGTTTTTTATGTGGTGCCAGGATCAAACCCAGTGCCTCACACATGCTAGGCAAGCAATGTACTACTGAGCCACAACTTGGCCTCACATCTTGATATCTTAAACACATATATTTGTGTGTCTGCTTTGCTTATACACATAGCTTTAGAACTTTAGATTTTTTTTTTTTTTTTTTTTTTTTGGTACCAGGGATTGAACCCAGAGATGCTTAACCACTGAGTCACATCCCCAGCCTGGTTTATATTTTATTTAGAGATAGGGTCTTGCTAAATTGCTGAGGCTAGTTTAGAACTTGCAATCCTCCTGCTTCAGCCTCCTGAGCCACTGGGATTACTGGCATGCGCCACCGAGTCTGGCAGCTTTACATCTTTATGTACACATATTTATAAGTTTTATTTATTTACAAATACTTGATGCTTGAGCATATACCTCTCTATGAGTTCACCTGTAGTGATCATACAGGACCCCAGTGTGTGAATCTACCAGCAGGCACTTAACCAGCTCCCAGGGATGGTTAGTTAGGGCACTTCTTTTTTCATTTTTTGGTTCAACATTTACCAAGCATCTACTCCTGTATCTCATCAGCTCTAAGGTAACAATGGGTGGGCAGAAGCAACGGTTACTTGTCTATTCCCATGGAAGAGAAATATTGCCCCTTGAACTCTGGCATTGTACCCTTAGATGCAGTTTGATTTCAGAGTCACACTAAGTATATGAAAAGCATGTCCCTTAGCACCAGTAGGTTGTGGCATTCCTGGGAATGCACTGGAAACAAAGCTGACAGCTGACAAGTCACCACCCCTAAGCACACCCTGCACACTGTCTTGCTGGCGTGAGGCTGCCCTAAAGCAGAGCACACGAGGGCTATGGCTCTATGCCGAGCCCCTGCTCAGAGCTGAGTGAGGGGGAAGATGCTTCTGGGGCCCCTCTTGCTGTTGGTTGTGTGGTGTGAACTTGTGGGTAGCTCGGCTGGGAAGCAATCCCTGTGGGCTGGCTGGGCTGGAGCCTTCCACAGCCTCTCTTCATGTTGACCTCAGAGCAGGCAAGTTCCTTTTCCTTTCTCCCTTCTGAGTTGGCATTCACAATAAGCCTGTGAATTACCACTCTGTCCCCAAGCAGAGGCTCACAGCCTCGCCGGGGAACTCCAAGTCAGGAGCTGTCGCGCGCTGTGTTCCTTGGAAGAATAAGACTTAGGTCACATTGCTGTGTGTGTTTAGTGTGTTATGGAGATTACTTTATTGGTCAGAAACAAAAGGAATGGACATGAACAACTCTGACACCATCTGCCTCCATCCTAGCCCTCCTACTGGTGTGGGAACCCGAGGACAGTTGTTGGGAAAGAAGAAGAAGACAGTGACCCTGAGAAAGCTCTCAGAACCGAGTACTTTGAAGCTGAGCCCGAGGACTTGGTGGCAGGGATCAAGATCAAGCATCTGTCCAAGGTGCCACCTCCCTGTGTGGACAGAAGGGGAAGGCGGGGGCAGGCTGGACAGCAGCAGGGGAGGAGGGCAGGGGTCCTTCCGCTGTTCCTGATGCACTCTCCAGGTCACAGACCACCCTCCCTATTGGATTCAGTACCCAGCATGGGGTCAAACTCAGGGTGACTTCAGCAAACATATAGTCCTGGCTCTGCCTCTTGCCAGTACCCCAGAGTGTGCTCTGCTTTGCTGTCCAGGCTTCCAGGGCCTCTGGATCTCCTTACGGAGAAGAGACACTGAGGAGGACATGTGGGGGTGGGGCAGGGGACTTTTTTCCTTGGCACACTACGGTGTCGACCTTGGTGTCCTGGGACATGGGACTGCATTCCAGAGGGAGAGGGAGGCCCCAAGGACCACAGGAAGTCCAGAGCAGCCCTCTGCAAATCCCAGGTGTTCCAAGTGGGGAATAAGGACAAGACAGCTGTCAGGGACCTGAACCTGAACTTGTATGAGGGGCAGATCACCGTCCTGCTGGGCCACAACGGTGCAGGGAAGACCACCACCCTTGCCATGCTCACAGGTGAGGGGCAGCTGCATGCCACCTGCAACCAGCAGGCCCTCCCCATAGCACTGCTCCACACCAGCCCTCACCCCCTCATGCAGCCTTCAGTCCTTCCCCAGCCACAGGGAATCCCAATAGTCCTCAGCCCAGAGGGACATGGGGGGAGCTGTCTAGTCACCCCTGACCTCCTCTCAGCCTGTCCGTGAATGCCCAAGCCCTGTGGGAACAGTGAGAACAAGGCTTCTCAAGTCACACAGGAGCAGGCACACCCCATATCATATTATCCCAAGCTCGTCCTGAAAGACCAGCCCTTTGTCCTCTCTAAGCACCCAGACGCCTGTCAGAGGCACAGGCAGTATCTGTGGGGCCTCGTGAGTGTGAAGGACTTGGCACTACCTGTACTTGTGCATGCAAGTGCATGTTTGTCATCCTTGAGTAGCTGCAGCACCCTGTGGCAGGGCCACGGCCCCATCCCTCCTCTGTCTCTTACCCAGACAGATTCAGCACAACACGGTGGGGGCCAGGCATTTCTTTCACAAGGGCAGGGTCCTTTGTAAAATGGAAGGAACCAGGTGACCAAGGTGGAGGGGGTCATCATGTCTCAGGCTGATGAGCAACATTTTCATGCGGAATTCGGGGGTCTTTGGTTGGCCCCAGGACTCTTTCCCCCTACTAGTGGACGTGCATATATTAGTGGGTATGAAATTTCCCAAGACATGGTTCAAATCCGGAAGAGTTTGGGCCTGTGCCCCCAGCACGACATTCTTTTTGACAACCTGACGGTGGTGGAACATCTCTACTTCTATGCACAGGTGAGCCTATGGGTGACGGGGACATGAGGGTGCTAGGTGCTCTGCTGCTGATGTGTGGGTTCCAAGCTTGTCTGTGTGTCACTAGCCTCCTGGCAAGGCAAAGTCTGTTTCTAGGAGGTGCTCTGTAAAAACCAGAGTAAGGCAGTGGGCGAGCAGAGTGCTGCAACTGCAGGAGATGTATCTCTGGCCAGGAAGCTTTACCAGATGGGATTGGGTAACTTCTGCAGCACAGGTCTCATCTCTTGTCCCCTGCCATTTCAGTTGAAAGGCCTGTCTCAGCAGAAGTGCCCTGAGGAAGTCAAGCAGATGCTGCACATCCTCAATCTGGAGGACAAACGCAACTCACGGTGCAAGTTCCTGAGTGGGGGCATGAAACGCAAGCTGTCCATCGGCATCGCCCTCATAGCAGGCTCCAAGGTACAGGGCATTGGGGCCCAGCTTCCACCAGCACAGTGGACAGACACAGGGCAGCAGGCCCAGAGGCCTCAGGCTCTGGAACTTGAACCAGCTCTGCAAATCCCTGGACTCCAGCTGTGGGGTCCCACAACACAGGTCTCCCATTGTCACCAGGTTGTGCCTGTGCCCCCAGGTGCTGATGCTGGACGAGCCCACCTCAGGCATGGATGCCATCTCCAGGAGGGCCATCTGGGACCTTCTTCAGCAGCAGAAGAGTGACCGTACCATCCTCCTGACCACCCACTTCATGGACGAGGCTGACCTACTGGGGGACCGCATTGCCATCATGGCCAAGGGGGAGCTGCAGTGCTGTGGGTCATCACTGTTCCTCAAGCAGAAATATGGTGAGCAGTGGGTGGGGGTACCCAGTCTCAATCCCAGGATAGAGGTCAGCAACACTGTCTGCTGTGCCAAGAGGCACTACCCACTGTTAGCCTTTGGGAGGGGCCCTAAGACCAGCAGAGAGAGGCCTCCTCTCAACTTTGGTCACCCCAGTGGAGGGGCCTATGAGAATGAGGGAGGAGAGTGGGGCAGATTGCCTTGAGTGGTTGGGCTCCAGTTCATCTACAAGTAGGACGCCAAGGGGAAGTAGCATGTTGTCTGACATTACAGTTCCCAGAAAGGGCATGGCTTGTGGCACAGCCCAGACCAGTGGGTGAAGGTTTGGGTCAGGATCCAGGCCCCTTACTTTGTGGGGTGATTGTGGCCTCCCTTCTGGTTCAAGATGGCGCCATGTCCAGCCTCCCCCTCACCAGGACACAAGACCACCCCTCCCTTCAATTTACAACTCACTTCTACTGGCCTACCCATGGCCAGCACACAGCCCTCTGTGGCTAATACAGGCTGGAAGGGAAGCTGGAGTGGACACCTTCACGCTGGGTGGCAGCATACCCAGCAAAAATACAGGAGTTTCCTTTTCAAGAAGTGGGGCCGGTCTTGGGGGACCAGGAGCCATTTCTGGTTTGATAGTTTCGCCTGCTACTTCCTGCCTGGTGCCTAGTCAGCTGAGCCATTGCTCTTCCTGGGCCCAGTGTCCTTATGTCTGAGGAGGGACAAGGAAGTCCCATTTTCTGCCAAGCAACACTGGGCAAGAGTTGAGTAGGGATCTGAATGTGGCAGTATAGCCTGCAGCCCCTGCTGCTGCTCCTGCCGAGTCTTCTGTGAGCTTTGCAGTAATGTTCTAAATAAATCCCACAGGGCAGATGCCCTCGACACCCAGGCTCTTGCTCAGGTGGGTCTCTGTCTTGTAGCTGTACCCTCAGAAAGGCTCTAGCTTCCAGCAGGTACTCCTGGCTGCATTCAACATCCCAGGTCCCCCAGCGACTCTCCCCAGCAAGGGTATGGGAAGCAAGGTCCCAGGACATACAGGGGAGCCCTGAGATGCTGTTCTGGCTCAGTTGCCTCTTTCTGCTCTGGCTCTCCAGCCTCTTTCCCATGAGCCTGCCTGGCGTGAACCTAAGAGTCCACAGCAAGGGCAGGAAGTGCAGTATGGAGACAGTCACATTTCTCACACTCAGCTCATGTGTTTCAGGTGCTGGCTATCACATGACGCTGGTAAAGGAGCCACACTGCAACCCTGAAGGCATCTCCCAGCTGGTGCACCACCATGTCCCCAATGCCACACTGGAAAGCAGTGTTGGGGCTGAGCTGTCCTTTATACTTCCCAAGGAGAGCACGCACAGGTATGCGTCCTAGAAATATGGGCACATGGTATGCCTCTCAGGGGAAGTGCACTGGTGCAGAGCTAAGAAGGGAGCCCATGAGCCAGAAAGCTCCATGCTCAGAATTGCCCACCGTCCCTCTCTGGCTCAACCAATGGCCATCTCCCAGCCCCTGGCCTGTGGACAGTCAGCCCACGTGGAACCTGCTCACCTGCATTTCAGGTGCCAGGCTTCCTGGGTGGAGCTGAGGAGGAAGTGGTGCTTGGTGCCTGCCTCCTGTTCATACCCAGCCCGTGGCTCCATCCTAACATAGGGTTCAACATGTGCAGCAGCAGCAGTGCTCAGATACATCATGGTGCTGAGAATGTGCATTTGCACACAAGTTACAAATGTACATAACTTCTCTGTCTCAAAATGTGAGGCCTGGGCACCCACCATGGCACTGTCACCAAGGGCAGATCTACCAGGGCCAGGGGAGAAAGCCAAGCTTTTCATTCACACTTGGTACTGGAATGGGTGGGTGGGTGAGTAGGTAGGTAGATTTTTTTATCAATGGGACATAGATTTTATTGTACACTTAGTCGTAGATGTCTCTGTTAACTTTGAAAGTGAATGATTCCCTTCATCAGTACAGTTTGGCAGAGAAAATGCAGGGGCAACAGGATATAGTTCAACAGAGAACCTTGATAACAAAAAGGCTTGGAATTATTCCTGGGGGACTGCACTCATAGGTTTCAAGGCTGCACAAGGTCCCCTTTCTCTTAGCCCCCTGGGATAACACTAGCAAGAGAGTGTTTTCTTCTGCAGCTGGATTGACTCCCAGGCCAAAGGGTCCCACAGAGGCAAGGGGGGAGGCCTGGAGGAAGGCTCGACACAGGTGGGTGGGCTGGTCAGCAGAGGAGTGGACAGGAGTCCAGGGGACTCCTTGCATCAGCAGATATCACAGGTCTGGGGACATCATCCAAGCCACCCACACCGAGTAAAAGACTTCTCTGAATAATGTCTGCCCAGAGTGGACTCAAAGGGATGTGGCTACACATTCTGGTCAACTGCCATTTTGCTGCCTCACCCTCCCCAGGGCCCCTGCCACCATCTTGTGACCTGGGCAGGATTTATATCTTTTGGGTATAGTTTAGGGGCTTGAACCCAGGGTTTCATGCATGTGAGGCAAGCACTCTACCACTGAGCCACATCTCCAGCCCAGGGTCTATATCTTAAAAGTACAATTCATCATGCTATATGTTTGATTAAGTAATGTGAGTTGTTTGATGCTGTGCTGGGGACAGAACCCAAGGCCTCACACATGCTAAGCAAGCATTCCATCACTGAGCTGCACATGGATCATTTGCTTTTATAGCTGCATGATGCTCCACGACTTGGGTTGATAATCTAACATGTGCTTCATCATCATGCACTCATGTTGTTCTCCAAAATATATGCTAAGAATCATCCTCCTAGAAAACACTTGTCCAGATCTCCAATGATTGTCCCACATCCCCCCACCCAGTAGTGGGGTAGTTATTACCAATTTCCTTTTGGAAAGGAGTTGACTTTGCTTCCCCAGAAGCAGGATAGGGGAGTGCATTTTATGTCACCGATGCAGCACTTTTGTTTTTCTTTGCAGTGCTGGGGATGGAACCTGGGCTCTCAGGCAGGTCTCGCACATGCTCTTCCACTGAGCTGCACCCCAGCCCTACAGCTGCAGCTTTGAGTAGAATTTTTTCCCCAATATTTTTGTGTTGAATGATGAAGAAGCACATAGCCAACTGATTCACCTCTCTGAGGTTCCTGTCAGTAGGAGGTGAAATATTTCTAGGCCTGGTGGCTTTAAGAATTGCCTCAGCTGGGTGCCCCCTTGCCCCTCCCCCATCCTACCTGAAGGCAATTATATTGGAAAGAATTGCCTAGGAAGTCTCTGAGGAGCACCTCATCACTCTGGGTCTTTTTTCAGGTTTGAAAGTCTTTTCACTAAACTGGAAAATAAGCAGAAGGAATTGGGCATCGCCAGCTTCGGGGCCTCTGTCACCACCATGGAGGAAGTCTTCCTTCGGTCAGTAAGCACATGCTCCAGGTCTGGCACTGGGAGTGAGTTGGTTAAGGGACCTACATAAGGCAGTCAGTTTGATTCTGCTCTGAAGCCTGGCCCCTGAGTTTAGATGTGACTGATGTCAACTGAAGCAGAGAAGCTGCGGCTGATTCTGGAAGAACTGTTTGAACTTCTCCAGGGTCCCTCCCAGGAGACCACCCACACAGGGTCAGGCGTCAGGGAAGTGTGTAGCTGCTGATGTCTTCTGGCTCAGGTCCTCCAGGATGCCTGGGTCTGCACCAAGCACCTGAGGTTTAGCTTTCAGACCCTCAGAACTGTGGGTGAGCAGCAAACCACTGACATTTATCAGACATTTGATTGACAGGATTTTGCTAAATTGCCCAAGCTGACCTCAGACTCCTGCCTCAGCCTCCCAAATAACTGGGATTACAGGTGTACATTCCTATGCCCAACTTGTCAGACTTTTCTTGAATGCTTGTATGGCAGATATAGTGCTAAAAACTCAAAATAAAAACACGAGTCCATTTTCCTCCTTGAGGAGCCCATGGCCTAGAAGAGGCAACAGAATAAGTGACCATAAATTGAGGCCACATGAGGAATGCTCTGTGAACATCTCTACTGGGAGGTGGGGGCAGCCACAAAGGCCAGCATGGCCTCAGGGAAACCAGTGGGGAGAGGAGGTTCAGGAACTTGTGTACCCAGGAGCAGACCTCTGAATCAGGCAGGTGACGGGGTAGGAAGGAAGAGGTTGCTCGCTAAACTGAGTCCAACACCGCAGAGCAACTCTCCACGAGTCTTGGTGGATAAAGAAACCACAGACCAGCCTGGCACTGGCTGCACCTAGCGGTCAGGGACTGGGTTGCTCTCAGCAGCCACTTGTCTTGGCTTTCCTTTCTGGCCCAATTCACGCTGTCTCCTTGCTCACGTTCAACACATGACCCCACTTGTTCTCCCGCCATGTCCTCATGCCTCAGTTCCAGACCCCCATCCTTGACAGTGGTCTCTCTGAGCCCCTAGTCTAAGGAGAAAAACAAGCAGAGGCTCTGCCCAGCATGCCCAAGACCCTCTGGTAGCCAGAGAGGCAGGCAGGCCACCTAGCCACTCAGGAGGTAGATGTAAAGGTTTCTATTCAAAGGGAATACTAGAGATGTAGCCACAGGTGTCTCTAACTTGAATCTGTGATGGGAGTCTTAAAAGACAAATGGACCTGGGACAATTGATGTAGGGGAGAGGCCTTTCCAAAAAAACTGAGTCCAAGTCCTTAGGGCCAGCTTGGGAGAAGGAAAGCAGGTGGGCAGGTCTATGTAAAGATTTCCAGAAGATGGCAGAAATAAGCTTAGAAATAGGCCACACCAGAAAGCACCTCTTACCAGGCAGAGTGGCACACACCTGTAATCCCAGCAGCTTGGCAGGCTGGGCAGGAGGATCACAAGTTCAAAGCCAGCCTCAGCAATGTAGCAAGACTCTAAGCAACTTAGTGAGACCCCCATCTAAAAATAAAAATAATAATAAACAGGCTGGGAATGTGGCTTGGTGGTTAAGCACCCCTGGGTTCAATCCCTAGTACCAAAAAAAAAAAAAAAAAAAGTACCTCTTGTGCTCAGCAGTTTCAGTTGTATTTTCTGATCCAGGGAGCTGCTAGAGGGGATTTGTGTGTGTGTGTGTGTGTTTAAAATATATATATATTTAGTTGTAGGTGAACATACCTTTATTTTATTTATTTTTTAAACAATTTTTTCTAGTTGTAGATGGACACAATATCTTTATTTTACTTACTTTTTTTTTATGTGGTGCTGAAGATCGAATTCAGTGCCTCATGCGTGCTAGGTGAGCGCTCTACCGGGCTATAACCCTAGCCCTCGAGGATTTGTTTTTAAATAACAACAGCTTTATGAAAATATAATTTACATAATATTTTAAAAGTTCACATTTTTGGCGTGGTGATACAGGGCTCTTACTGTATTCACAGTTTTGCAGTCATCACTATAATCAACTTGAAAACGTTTTTGTCATCCTCTACCCTGCAAAAATCCATATCTATTAGCAGTTGCTCCCCCACCCCCACCCCTGGAAAACAGTTCTGTTTTCTTTCTTTCTGGATTTGCCTGTTATGGGCATTTTATATAAATTTCACCATATAGCATGTGATGTTTTTTGTCTCATCTTTCAATTAGCACATTGCTTCAAGGTCCATCCATGCTGTGGCCCATGTCAGAATGTCACTCCCTTTTTTGGTGCACAATGCTCCATCACACGGACAGACCAGGTGTTGTTGGCCTATGTGTCCATTGAGGGACACATAGGTGGTGTCAGCCTCTGACTTTAGGAATCATGTGGCTGTGAACGTGTTGTACATGAGTTCATGTTCTTACTCCTCGTGGGCACATACCTAGGAGTGTGTGGTCATGTCTTGTTCCTCCATCCTGACGAGCATCAGTCCTTATTGAGAGCACTGCTGTCAGAAGCACTGAACCAGAACATCCACCAGCTTCTTCAGCTTGTCCGTTCATTCATTCATCCCTGTGCCCATTCATCCTTCCATCTGTACCCAGCTGAGCAAGGCCCAGGTGGGGCACTGCCCCTGAGAAACATCCAGGCTCATGGGGAGACTGACCAAAGAACATTCCTAGCCAGACCCTAATGGGGATGGCACCCATGAAAGCACTGATACCAAGGATCCTGACAGCTGGGATAAGGGGGCTCTCAGGCTCCAGTGTGGCCCAGCACAGCCTGACCTGCGGTTGGCCCTCCTAGAGCACAGTTGTCCATCTCCCAGTCTCCCTGGGCAGTGAGTGCCCCTGGCTGCCTTGCCACAGTCCAGTGCTAGCTGCGTGATGGGCCCTCCCCAGGGCCACTGTCACTCCCCAAGCCCCTTCTATCCTCTTGAAAACCCTGGTTATGGATGCTAACTCTGGGCAGTCACAATGACACACACTTGTAATCCCAGCAGGTCAGAAGGTTGGGGCAGGATGATCTCAAGTTCAAGGCCAGTCTGGGCAACTTAGTGACACTCTGTATCAAAAATAAAATTTTTTTAAGGGCTATAGGCATATCTTAGTGGTAGAGTGCCCCTGGGTTCAATCCCCAGTACTGCAGTCAATCAATCAATACATACATACATACATACTAATTAAATAAATAAATGCTAATTCTGGGCAGTGAGGCTGGAGAACAGGGGCCTATGGGAAGGAACTTCTTTGGCTGCATACAGATGATGGTCTGGAGATATTTCTTGATGAATCAGTGAATGAATTCCAGAGATATGAAATGATGGATGAATGAGTCAATGAACAAGCGAATGAATCTGAGATTGTTTTGCTTCAAAGCCTCTGACGGTGGCCCTCTTTCCTTGGCCCTTCCCTCGGTAGAACAGAAGTTTTTCTCCCCTACCCTAAAGCTGGATTGTGACCCAGGCCTATGTGTTCTGGCACAGGGTTGGCAAGTTGGTAGACACCAGCATGGACATCCAAGCCATCCAGCTCCCTGCCCTGCAGTACCAGCACGAGAGGCGGGCGAGCGACTGGGCTGTGGACAGCAATCTGTGCGGAGTGATGGACCCGACTGACGGCATTGGCACCCTCATCGAGGAGGAGTACACTGTGGTCAAGCTCAACACTGGGGTGAGCGCCCTGGGCTGGGGCCATGTACTAGCCATCATGGGACAGTTGGAAGTCCCCTGGGCCCCTTGTTACGGTCATTGTCACAGGAGGGTCCTCAATGGCAGGTATAGGCTTCATGAAGGCCAGTGGAGGACAGAGGGCAGATCATGGCTTGGCAGGGAGAAGGGCAACTGGGAGCATTTTAATGGAGCAATTGAAGTGTCTTAATGTTCTAACTTGGGCACTCACAGATAAGATGGAGTGTTTGCTTATAATATCAACAGTGCCCTGTGCCGAGCCAGCTCTGTTGGTCTGGCTTTACAGCAACCTGGTGAGGTGAAGGGCAACCCTGTTCTCAGTTTATAGACAGGAAACCAAGGACCAAGCAAAAGTTGAAAGGTTCCCACATGGATTGCTAGGGCCTAGGCCTGGATAGCCTGACTCCAAGCCCCTGAGGCTCTTTGCACTTAGGAGGGAATAAGGGCAGGTGAAGGAGGTGAGGTGGTCTGCTTACACATGAGCTATACCAGGGCCTCCTTCCAGTGATGCCTTCAGAAGGGACCAGGGAAGGCAAGGACCCCAGGCCTGTCCCCAGTGCTCTATGATGAAATAGTGTCTTCCACGCCTCCTGGCTGTGCTGGGATCCTGAGAGCCCATGTGCAGAACTGCCAGGACACATTCGCCTGTGCCCTCCAATACCTTACTGAGCTCCTCCTGTGGCCCCAGGGTGTGTAGGTCACTCCTGCTGTGGTTGCCTGAAAGCCCCCAGGCAGGTGCCACATCAGGGCAGTGCTACCAAGGGCTGGGTGGATCAGATTCCACCTCCTAGATAGAGCCTACATCACCTGAACCCCCTCTGCTGTAGCTTGCCCTCCACTGCCAGCAGTTCTGGGCCATGTTCCTGAAAAAGGCCACATACAGCTGGCGGGAGTGGAAGATGGTGGCAGCCCAGGTCCTGGTCCCCTTGACCTGCGTCACCCTAGCCCTCTTGGCCATCAACTATTCCTCGGAGGTCTTCGATGATCCCATCCTGAAGCTGAGCTTGAGCGAATACGGCAGAACTGTGGTGCCCTTCTCAGCTCCCGGCACCTCTCGACTGGATCAGCAGCTGTCGGAGCTCTTGAGAGACGTGCTGCAGGCTGAGAGGCAGGAGCCTCGCGAGGTGCTGGGTAAGAATGGTGGGGGCTAGAGCTGAGTGGTGCGGTTTCTGACTGCTGTAGTGCCAACATCTGGCGTGAATGGTCCCCGTGGATGTTTAGCGGTATCCCTGCGATTGTCCCCTATCCCGTCATGACAATCTGGAATGCCTTTAGACATCGCAGATGTCTGGTGGGCAGGAGAGCATGGCCATGAGGCAGAACTAGTTCCCTGGACACCTGAGACATAGGCACCTCAGTAGAGTAGACCAGGTCAGGCGATCATTTTCTGCAGCTGTTTTTCAGGACCATTACAAACAAAATGCAAAACCGTTTTGAGTTTCTAGCATCCACTCTGGGCTTAAAACAACCATGCTCTGGTTAAGCAGAATGTGCTGGAAGGCTTTGTCATCTTATCACTCCCTCCTTTATCCTGATCAGCAGTACTGAGGTTCAGTAGATGGAGTCATGACAAAATCTTGGCAGAAACAAGATTCTCCTTAGAAGAAGGTTGACTTGTGTCGGCAGCGGGGAGTGAGTGGCACTGCAGAGAGCACAGCTGGCAGGGAGGAGCCCCTGCATCCCAAGGTCCCAGCTCAGTTGTGCCCATGGTTGGGTCCCTGATGAGCAGCACAGAGATGGCAAGTGGGCACCCCCACCTGTCCCTGCCCTGCATCTCCCAACACTGCCACTGCTCCCCAGGTGACCTGGAGGAGTTCCTGGTTTTCAGGGCATCAGTAGAAGGAGGCGGCTTTAATGAGCGGTGCCTGGTGGCAACATCCTTCAGAGACGTGGGAGAGCGGACGGTGGTCACCGCCTTATTCAACAACCAGGCTTACCACTCCCCAGCCACCGCCCTGGCCATCGTGGACAACCTTCTATTCAAGCTGCTGTGTGGCCCTCGGGCCTCCATCATGGTCTCCAACTACCCCCAGCCCCGGAGTGCCCTACAGGCTGCCAAGGACCAGTTCAATGAGTATGTGGGGCCCCACCCTACCCTGTCTGGAGCCTGGAGCTGGGAGCCCCTCTCCAGGACCAGCCACCTGAGGCTCTGCCAAAAATTGCTGATAGACAGAGTTGAGTTTCGGCCCTGCAGACACTGTTGCTGCTTCTTGGCTGGGGGACCCTGACTCTTTACCCTTTTACATTCACCTTTCCCATAGCTGAAAAATCAGCCCAGGACACCCATCTCACACACATGACTTCTGAGTGCTCATTGGGCAGCTCTGCCTTCTGGTAACAGTAGGGCTGTAAGCAGCCATGGGCGGGAGCCAGGGTTGTGCAGGAAGCACTGGGAAATGGTTTCTGCCTGTCTGGTGGACTCCAGACTGGGAGGCCCAAAGGTCAGGCTGAGGGGTTCAGGCTTATTATAGTGACTGTGGACCAGGCAGGAGGGTGTTGTTCTAACAGCTTTAGGAATACCACCCACTCAGGTACAGTGCACTTATAGAGCACAGCCGGACCATTGTGTATTTCACAGAGGTACACACTTTCATCTCAATGTAACTTTTTCTGTGAGGTGCTGGGGATTGAACCCAGGGCCTCATGCACATGCCAGGTAAGCACTCTACCAGTAAGCCACATCCCCAGCCTCAACATAATCTTATTGAGCATCTTTCCTTTAAGAAAAAAAACAACCAGGACTGGGAATATGGCTTAAGGTAGAACTATTGCCTGGCATGTGCATGAGGCCCTGGGTTCAATCCCTAGTACCAAAAACAAGAAAAAAAAATCCTTTCATGCTTTGTCAGGCGTGGTGGTACATTTTTTGCATGCCTGTAATCCCAGCAACTTGGGAGGCTGGGGCAGGAGAATCACAAGTAAGGTAGCCTGGGCAACCTGGCAGGACCCTGTCTCAAAATTTTAAAAAAGGGCTGGGATGTAGCTCAGTGGTGGAGCACTTATCTAGCATACCTGATAACCTGGATTCAATCCTTTGTACCAAAAAAGAAAACTGTACTCAATAGCAGGTGCTTGCCATTCTCCCCAATCCAGCCCCTGGCAATTGCCATCTGCTTTGTCTTTATGGAGTTGCACTTTTGGGACATTTCTTGGGAGTGGAGTCACACAGTACATGATCCTTTGTGTCTGTATACTTTTGTTCAGGTGTTTTTAAGGTTTCCTCCAGATTCTGGCATCAATGCTTATTCTGTCCCAGCCCCATTCATTGAGATGTTCAGAAGGTTTTTAAGCAACAGAGTAATGCTGTCAGAGCCTATTTCTGGAAGACGTAGACCAGATCTAGAACCCAGAGTGCACTGGGAGCAGGGGAATTTGGCTATGGCAGTGATTCAGGACCTAACAGCAGACCTGGGGCAGAACACCGAGTGCAGTGCATAGGGTTCCCAAGAGACAGTGACAGATGGTACAAGGACAGGTAACACAGGAACTTGGGGAAGGACCTGGAGCCTGCCCTCTGCTAGGCCAGGATATCCAGAGGAAGAGCTGTCCTTGGGTGGGGGGTGGATTTTCCTGCTGCTGACCCCCTCAGCTCTATGGTACTCCTAACTGCTCTGAGTGGTTTGACTCCTGCACTGCATGCTTGGATGGTGATGACCAACAGCCTGATCTTTCCTGCTATCTATACATGCTGTGCTCTGTCCTCCCCAGGGGCCGAAAGGGGTTCAACATTGCCCTCAATTTGCTATTTGCCATGGCATTCCTGGCCAGCACCTTTTCCATCCTGGCAGTCAGTGAGAGGGCCGTCCAGGCCAAGCATGTCCAGTTGGTGAGCGGTGTCCATGTGGCTACTTTCTGGTTCTCTGCTCTGCTATGGGACCTCATCTCCTTCTTGGTCCCTGCTCTGCTGCTGTTGGTGAGTACTGGACAATGCCAGACCCTGCCCTGCAGACCACAGGGAGCTCACTGGGGACGTCTGTTGTAGAACAAGAATCAATGGAAAAGTCCAGCTGGTGGCTCAGCCCTGACTCCAGGAGGACAGGGATGGTACCTACCTGTTGCCTCTCTGTTTTCCCAGCCCTTGCCCACTCTTGGGTAGGCAGGGCCTGGAGCCAGCTCTCCTGGTTCCAGCTCCATCAGTCAAGGGGAGAAGAGGAAACTGCTGGTCAGAGAGGTTGCCAGGGCTAAGAGCTGTCGAGGGGCCAAGGACTGAGGGCTGGGTGATTTGGCGGGACCTAAGGACCATCAGATGCTCCCTTCAGTCCCCTTCCCCACCTCTGGGAGCCACCTGCTGGCCTGTGCTGAGCAGCCTCATCCATGCCACTGCAGGTGGTGTTCAGAGCCTTCGATGTTCGCGCCTTCACGCGGGATGGACACATGGCTGACGTGCTGCTGCTGCTTATGCTCTACGGCTGGGCCATCATCCCCTTTATGTACCTCATGAGCTTCTTCTTCTCGGGCGCATCCACCGCCTACACCAGGCTGACCATCTTCAACATTCTGTCAGGCATTGCCACCTTCCTAGTGGTCACCATCATGCGCATCCCAGGTGGGGGCATGAGAACCACCTGCACCTCCTGGCCCCCATGGAACTTCCCTGACAGCCACAGTGGTGGGAGGGTTCTGCAGCACCCCCAGGGGCTGTCCCAGCACCTGCAAGGTCCTGCAACCTGGGACCTGCCTTTCCCTTCCTGGGTCTATCTTCAGGTAGCTATGGTATATCCTCCAGTGCTAACTGGTCTATATCTCCTCACTGTAGCAGTGAAGCTCGAAGAACTTTCCAGAACCCTGGATCACGTGTTCCTGGTGCTGCCCAACCACTGTCTGGGGATGGCTGTCAGCAGTTTCTATGAGAACTATGAGACACAGCGGTACTGCACCTCCTCAGAGGTCGCCGCCCACTACTGCAAGAAATACAGTGCGTGTCCAGACCCCTCCCTTGGGGCAGCCCCATCCTCTTGGCCTCCATCCAGGGCAGCCAGAGTGTCCCCAGCACTCCCCCAGACAAGGGGCTTCATTGGCCCATTTCCTGTTGTTGTAACACAGCACCACAGAAGGGACAGAAGTCAAGAGTCTTGTTTCAGCTCAGGGCCATCCAAGGCAAGGACCCACATCTGGTGATGGCCTCCTTGCTGGCAGAGTCCAAAGGCAACTCCAGGCATCATGTGGCCCGAAGCAGTGATCACAAATTCCTGTGTGTCTTCTGGTGTCTCTCTCTCTCTCTCTCCTTCCAAAACCACCAGCATTGTCACTAATCCCAGTCACTTCCCAAGGCCCCACCTGTGAGCACCATAGCTGGATTAAGCTCCCACCCTCTTATTGCTTCACAGTAGAGATCATATTTGCACACATGAATCCTTGGGAAACACTCAGACCACACCCAAACTGCAGCAGGACTCCTCTGTGTTCTGAGCAGCCAGATGCTTGCCCAGATCATCCCCACATCCATTCCAGCCCTGCTACTGCCCACATGTTCTGGGCCTGCCCTGGTGTTTCTGTTCTTTGTACCTGTCTTTGTGTCCTGTGGCCTCTAGAACAGAACCATAGCTTCACAACAGACCTGTATCCTCTCAGGAGTCTGGAGGCCAGAGGTCCAAGTCAAGGCATAGTGGGGTAGGATGTGTTCCTTCCTGAAGCTCAGGGAAGGATGTCTTCTGCCCCTAAGCTCTCAGGGCTCCAGGCACTCCATTTCTGCATCTGTCTGTACTTGGCCTCCTCCCCTGTATCTCTGGATCTCAAACTCCTGCCTGTTATAAGGACAGTTGTTGTTGTTGGATGCAGGGCCCACCCAATCCAGTATCTCACCTTAAGACCACTAATTAATTATACCTTCAAAGACCCACTTCTAAACAAGGTCACATTAACAGGTTCAGAGCGTTAGCACTTGGACCTATCTTTGCGGGGCCCTTTCTGTGCAGGCAACTGGGTGGTCAGCTCTGCAGAACCCTGTGCACCCTAAGGCAGGCCTACCTCCTTGCTTTGCTCCTGCTGAGTGCCACTCATAGGGCCTGTGACTGTTGGTCATGTGCCATTCCTTCTCTAAACCATGGGCACCTCGAGAGGGGTCGAGATGTTGGCATCATCACAGAACAGTCCCCAACTCAAGGTCACCGCAAGTGATGAGCGGCACAGCAGGGCAGCATCCACCCATCACAGGTGTGCGAGGGGTACCTTACATGGCAAAATCCCCATGGCTAGGAAGTGCCTGAGGCTTCTATGTGGCATTGACAAGCACAAGGCACACACTCAGGAAGAGGAACATGGAGCCTTGGTAGAGAGAGTGCAGGGCCAGCGCTGGGACCCAGGAGGGGAGGAGGCTGCTGTGGTCACAGACTCAGCCTGGTTCCTTGCCCCTCACAGATATTAAGTACCAGGAGAACTTCTTCGCCTGGAGTGCCCCAGGGGTTGGCAGGTTCATGACCTCCATGGCTGCCTCAGGGTGTGCCTACCTCACCCTGCTCTTCCTCATTGAGACCAACCTGCTGTGGAGACTGAGGACCTTTATCTGTGCCTTCCAGAAGAGGTGGACATTGGTGAGTAGCTGCTGAGCAGCTCAGGTACACTGGAGGTCTCCATCCCTGACACAAACACATCAAACACAGCCTGTTGAGATCACATTGGAAACACGTTCACCTGGGGTGAACTGACTTCTCTAAAGTACTAAGCCTCTTCTAAAAAAGGAGTGATCTCCATGTGTTACAGTGGAGCCTTACTGGCTGCATGCGGTGACCCTCATCTATTGTCCCAGCTACTCAGGAGGCTGAGACAGGAGGATCACTTGAGCTCAGGAATTCAAGGCCAGCCTGGGCAACTTGATGAGACCCAACTCAAAACAAACAAACAAAAACAACCTTCACATCCTTGAGTGAAGTTCATGATTCTGTGAGTCCCTTACAGAGTTTGTTCCCTGGATACTGACCTCAGCCCGAGGCTACTGCTTCTTATAGAGGTCTGAGTGCACATGGGGCCTGTACTGGGGTGACACACCTTGGAGTCCTTAGTCCCCTTGCATGTCCCACATCAACCTCAGCACCTGCTCTTCCTCCACGGGGCTGGGGTTCACACATGTGATCTTTATCTTGAATGACTAGGAAGAATTGCACAACCGGACATCGGTGCTTCCCGAGGACCAGGATGTGGCAGATGAGAGGAGCCGAGTCCTGGCCCCTGGCCTGGACATCCTGCTGCACACGCCTCTGACCATCAGGGAGCTCTCCAAGGTAGTGTGTGGACCCTGCCCTCTGCTGGCCACCACGTGGGCTGGGGTCATGGAAGCTGGCTGAGGACAAAGGCTGGGGTCCCGCTCACCCAGTGCCCTCTGCTGGGTGCCCTGCAGGTGTATGAGCAGCGGGTGCCCCTCCTGGCTGTGGACAGGATCTCCCTCACTGTCCAGAAAGGGGAGTGCTTTGGCCTGCTGGGCTTCAACGGAGCCGGGAAAACCACGACATTCAAGATGTTGACTGGAGAGGAGCCCATCACCTCAGGGGATGCCTTTGTTGAGAGCTACAGCATCAGCTCTGACATTAGGAAGGTGGGTACCCTGCAAGGTAGGGTACGCAAGGCAGAAGGGGTGCCCTGAAGGCAAGGATGGCTGGCTTCTGGCTCCGGGTGGACACAGCACACAGGAGAACAAGGTGGTAATGGTGCCAGAGCTGAGCAGGAGAGATGGGGCTAAATTCCATGAGCCAAGAAATGCAGACTGCACCACCGGAGCCACCTCTGCCAAAGCCCACTGTGTCCAGGGAATGTGCCTCAAGGGAAGGGACAAAAGTGAAGGCCCAGGGCCCACCCACAGTTTCCCCCTAATTGGGCTGAAGCCCACAGGATGAGGATGGACAGGGCAGTTCTCATGCTCCCCGACCTCAGGAGATAGCACAGCAGATGGCTGTGTGTCAAGCAGAGCAGGGAAAGGAAAGGCAAAGAGCCTGTGCCTGTGAAGGGACCACAGCTCTTCTGAGCTGGCAGCAGGGGGCTCCAGGCGGCAGTGCCCACAGGAGTTAGAGTGCACAGGGGTCACAGGGCCCCTCCAGAGGGAGGCCTGTCCTCGTCCCAGGAGAGTCCCCATACAGTGTGTCCAGGTCTGTGAGCAGTGCACAACAGGCAATGAAGGGTATGGGCGACTGGAACCCACAGACACAAGGCTCCACAGGAAGAGCGAACCCCAGCTGCTGGGTTTCCAGAGTGTAAAATAATGTTGTGTTTAAAGAAGTAAACGAAGCTAGGCACGGTTACACCTGCAACCCCAGTGAGTGGGGAGGCTGAAACAGGAGGACTAAAGGCTCGAGGCCAGCCTTAGCAACTTAGCCAGACCCTGTCTCAGAATTTAAATTCTCAGAATTAAAAATAAAAAGGACTGGGCATGTAGCCCAGTGCTACAGCATCCCTGGATTCTAACCCCAGTACTAGGAGAAAAATAGAAGTGTCATGGCTGGAGACCTCTGCAGGGAAGACAGAACTATATATGATCTGGAAATGGAAGGTGAAAAACAATGCTCTTTACATTTAATCCAAGTTCCAAAAGGATAGCACTGGCGGGGCTAGAGAGTAATAGCCAAACAGATAACCTAAGCATTTTCCCAGACCAATTAACAACAGATTCTAGAACTCCAAGAAGGGTGAAGAAAAAGAAATTCAGTCCTTGGAATCAGAAGAACCTGGGCAGGCTTGCCTCTAACAGCTGCTGGGGCACATGCCCAAGCCCTGAGAGACCAGCTTCTGGGCTGTCCTGCTGAGTAATGTCCCTCCACCGAACTCCCTGCAGAGCTGCTGACGGTGTGCACCTTCTGCTGGAGGAAGAGGAAAGGCCCCAGCGTGTCAAAGGCCATTAAATATCTGATGCACAAACGTGCCGGTGGTCAGTATGTGGTCTTGCACCGCGATGGCTCTTATGAAGCCATTTTTGCACTAGCCTGCCCCTGTGGCTGCCAGTCTGGAACAGGCTCTCTGCTGGACCATGTGCTGGCTCATTTCTGACATCTCTGGGAACCTCCCCGAGCCAGCCATGTCCTTCCTGCGTCCCCACTGAGATACTTCTCGGTGAGCTTCAGCTGAGTGCAGCCACCAGGGCCTGGGCACCAAATCCTTGGATCACCCTGGACAGACTCACTGGAAGAGCCCAGAGACAGACTTGGGGCAGGCAGGCACCATGGCAGGTGGTTTGTATGGTCTTCTGACAGGAAGCAGCTTCCCTCTGACCTGCTTCTTCCCTGGGCTGTGTCCTAACCCAGGTGCGGCAGCGGATGGGCTACTGTCCCCAGTTTGATGCCCTGTTGGATCACATGACTGGCCGGGAGATGCTGGTCATGTATGCTCGGCTCCGAGGCATCCCTGAGCACCTCATTGACCCCTGCGTGGAGAACACACTGCGGGGCCTGCTCCTGGAGCCACATGCCAATAAACTGGTCAGGACCTACAGGTATGACCTGAGCCCAGACCCAGGCCCTGTGAGGAGATGACCCCTGGCCCTGCCCAGAGTGGAGCTGGGGGGGGGTCTCCTTTTAGATCCAGGGTGGGGGGACTGCACAAGTCAGCTCCTGCCTGTGGCTCAAGGATCAGGCAGGGATTTGGTGGCATGACCTAGGTATCACCAGGGGAGAGGGCTGCCCTGATGGTTCCTGCCATTTAAAAACAAGGCCAGCCAACAAGCGATGTTGGGCACCCTGTCAGGTCCCCTTCAGTACAGAGATGTTCCTACTCCATGTAGTGGACCCATCCCCTACACAATTCTAAGACTTCCAGTTCTATGCAGTGGGTTTTCTTGGCCCAGTCACCTCCTTCCTTCCTCTCCCCTGGGGCACTCTGCAGTCACTGGGCATGGGACCTGGGCTTGTGCTAATTATCAGCCCTATCTCCCACCTGGCACCTCTCCACTCCCAGTGGTGGTAACAAGCGCAAATTGAGCACTGGCATCGCCCTCATTGGAGATCCTGCAGTCATCTTCCTGGATGAGCCATCCACCGGCATGGACCCCGTGGCTCGGCGCCTGCTCTGGGACACTGTGGCCCGGGCCCGCGAGTCTGGCAAGGCCATTGTCATTACCTCCCACAGGTAGAGCCTGGGTCTCTGTGGGTCAATGGAGGAGCTGAAAAGGGTGGCTGGGGAGGGGCCAGGGAGCCAGACCACCTGTGAGCAGCTGGCATAGAGATTCCCCAGGTTCTGCATGTGGCCACACTCAGCGTGGGAATCAGGAACAGCCTGATCTGGGAATTGACACCTTCTGTCTACACAAGGCTTTTATACCTAGGGTGGGCTTCCGCTTCCCCCAGCCCTGTCTCAGCTCTACTCCCTGTCCTCAGCATGGAGGAGTGTGAGGCCTTGTGCACCCGGCTGGCCATCATGGTGCAGGGTCAGTTCAAGTGCCTGGGAAGCCCACAGCACCTCAAGAGCAAGTTTGGCAGCGGCTACTCCCTACGGGCCAAAGTCCGAAGTGAAGGGCAGCAGGAGGCACTGGAGGAGTTCAAGGCATTTGTGGACCTGACCTTTCCAGGTTTGTGCTGACCCTGGCAGCCTCCACTGGGGGTGGGAGGCAGGCCTCTGCTGGACCTCTTTGCCTGACCCCTGCCAAATCCCACATCCCTGACCCTGAGGAAGAAGACCACAGTCCTGTGCACCTAGGCTGTCCTCCCTGGCCCTCCAGCCTGGACCTCATGGGAACATGGTCTCTCCTTTGTGCAGGCAGTGTCCTAGAAGATGAGCACCAAGGCATGGTCCACTATCACCTGCCTGGTGGCAACCTCAGCTGGGCCAAGGTGAGTATAGCCCCCTCCCCAGCCAGGTGCTAACAGGGAAGGTCCCTTGGAGCCTCCCAGTCTTCCACAACCCCAGGCTCTTGTGGGAGGAATCACTTTCTCTTTCTCCTCTCACTGTAATTATCTGCTAGATTTGGGTTTTATATGCAAAATATTTGAATTGAAAGGAATTCAGTGCAAAAAAAGGATGCTGGCATAGTTTACTCAAGATCAGACCCCGAACTGGGAACTGGGCCAGGAGGAAGTCCAGCCCTTGCTGCCCTTGTGCAGCCAGCATCTCTCCCTGAAAGCTTGACTGACCTCTCCTAGGGACTTTGGGGTGGGGTTGAGCAAAATAGGATCTTGAGTTTGTGGTACTAGTGACTGAACCCAGGAGCACTTTACAGCAGTGTTACATCCCCATTCCTTCTTATTTTTTATTTTGAGACAGGGTCTCACTAAGTTGCTGAGGTTGTCCTTGACCTTGCTATCCTCCTGTCTCAGCCTCCCAAGTTGCTGGGATTACAGGTGTGGGCCACTGTGCCTGGCTCCTTGCCAGCCTCTTATTGCCAGAGGATTTACCCACCTGCTAGGGAGCCTAGGTCCTGAGCTTTCTTACCAGCTGCTCTTCTGCCTCCCAAAGGTTTTTGGTATCCTGGAGAAAGCCAAGGAGAAGTATGGAGTGGATGACTACTCAGTGAGCCAGATCTCACTGGAGCAAGTCTTTCTGAGCTTCGCCCACCTACAACCCCCCACTACAGAGGAGGGGCGATGAGGAGCCGTCTGCTGCCTCCAGGGCACTAGGCAGGGACTGGACAAGCCTGTGCACAGTTGTGTACCCTCTCCATCTGAGTTTCTCTTATCCTTTATTTTTAATCACTTTTTTCTATGATGATATGAAAAAAAATCAAGGCAGTCTGCACAGAATGGATCAAGTGTGCCAGGGCCCTTGTATGAGAATCAGCATGCAAATTTCCACTCCCAAAGGCAGACTCTATGGAACTCACATTCCCAGGCCCAGAACAGGTCCAGCAGTGTGAACAGGTGAAGAGCTGTCTCAGGACCACAGCTGACCCAGAGACTGAATTTCTCTACATGTTCACAGAAAGAAAGGGCTCTGGGACCTGTCCACGTTTACGTATGCACTAAGCTCCCCTGGGGAGGACAGAGGAAGCCAGTAGGGATGAGTTGTGGCAAGGCTCTTCAGGCTGCTGAGGACAAAAAGTTTCAAATGACCTCCATCTGTGAAGGAAAGATATCAGCTGTGACTAGGTGCTGAGACCTCAGTTTCCAGTGCATCCCAGAGGCACCCCAGAGTCGATGCTCCTCAGGGTGTGGCTACCACTCCAGGCCTACCTGACCGCAGACCCAGCACCCTCCCACAAGTATCTTCCAGAAGCAGCCAGCACAGGGAGAGACGGTGGCCAGACTAGGCATACAGTCCTCCTCTGTTCCCAGCTGTAACTCTTGAGAAGCTACTGGCCACAGGACAGTCAGGAAACACTACAGGGACTGAGCAGCTGTCTCCTGCGCATACACTAAACACACTATGACCGTCCAGAAAATAAAGGCTGAGGGAACATGATCACAGCCCACGAGTCACACATGTGATGGGGGGACGGGTCTGGATCATTCTCTCACAGTCCAAATATGCGGCTCTTATACCAAGTTTCAAACACAGAAATTTGCTTTTCCCCATAGGGAGCAAACTTAGAGGATTCATTGCCATCAGGTGACAGAGCAGGCCAGATCAAGAGAACATGGTTGGTGCAGGAGGCCTCTGGCTCCAGGGTCACTTGGGGGCATGAACCATCTTCCCAGAAGATTCTTCAGCATCAGTCCCCCACTCTCCTTTTTTGTGTGTGGTGCTGGATTGAACCCAGGGCTTTGTGCATGTGAGGCAAGCACTCTACCAACTGAGCTGTATCCCCTGCCTATCACTCCCTTTTTATTTATGCACTGAAGTTTTAGTTTTCAAAAACTTCAGTGATTCAGATTTCTTTTTTCTGACTGAACCCAGAGGTTCTGAGCCACACCACCCTAGTCCTTTTATTTTTTTTAATTCTTTTTTTAACGTTTTATTTATTTATTCATTCATTTTTATGTGGTACTGACGATTCATTCATTTACTCATTTATTTACTTTTATGTGGTGCTGATGATCAAACCCAGGGCCTCACATGCACTAGGCAAGCGCTCTACCACTAAGCCACAACCCCAGCCCTTATTTTTTTTAATTCTTTTAGAATTCAGTTTTAGAAAAACTTGTTTTCATCACTTTGGCTCATTTGGGTCAATTTCAAATTCATGCCTTTGTTAGTCTTTTAAGATTCACCAAAGCTGCAGATAGTTCCCAGTAGCTCTGCTGCCTCCCTAATTTTCTTTGAATTATCATCTTTTAGTTTCGTGCTATAAAAAATGTTTGCAATGGTTGTTAGGCTGGGAGGTGGGACTGTTCTGGCCATGCAACTTGTCAGCAAGCCTAAGGTTGTCCATTGCTGGGTTTGTGGAGTTGGGGGAGACAGGCCAGTGAACCCACGAGTCCTGCTACAGGATGTCCTTTGACTTGACTTAAATCCCTGTGTTGGAGATTCAGGAATCTCATTTTTCTCCTTTGAGACCATAAGAGGGTGAGAAAAGGTATTTAGTAGGACTTAAGAAACAGCTGATGTGAGACACACACATGAAAGCAGCTTGCTTCAGTACACATGGAGATTGTCATCCTCTCACAAGCGGGAGAGAGCTGCCAGCAGGACTTAGGTGAGGACTGTCACAACCAGAATCCTTTAGGAGATGACCCACAGCGATGGAGAACACTGTGGGAACCAGGAAGGGCAGGCACATATATGGTTAGGAGGTTCCAGAGGTGGCTATGGGAGGAGCCCAGAGCTGCACCCAAGCACAAAGCCTGGGTGACTGCCACAGCAGCCTAGTTAGAAGAGACCCCAGGAGCAACACAATGGGTTGACACTTTGCCTCCCACACCCAGTGCATCTTCAGGGTAAGACACTGTGCTGAACCCCAGTCACCAGAGGAACAGTAAAGACCAAGTCCCAGGAACCCACCTGCTTGGCTCTTTTGAGTTGCAGCAGTTCTAGGCAGGCCAGGGCACCATGGACTCCTGCCCTGCTCTCCTTCCAGTATACTCCCATCCAGACCACCAGGCCCCAGGCTGACCAGTCCTCCCCAGAGGTTCTAGGACCTGCTCTGCTGCTAACTCCAATGAGATCAAGGAGCCACGACTCTGCCTCTGCATCTCTTTGTGGTCCAGCTACCATAGAGTTGAAAACGACACCCGTGGCAAAGCCTGCATGTTTTGTCCTTTAGTCCTGCCTGGTCCAACAGGGTGGCTCAACTGACAGTGTCACCACACCCAGAACTTCAAGGGAGCCCCATGAGGGTGGGTAGTTAAGTCCTGCTATGGACAGGATTGAGTCTGAGCCCTCCATCGCCTTGATAGGTTTAAAGGGGAAGGGCTACCTGCCCCCGCCAGCCACCTAGAACAGACTTGCTTCATGCATCAGAAATTCCAGAACACAGATCCAAAGAATACAGAAATGTATTTCTCAGCTGTATGAAGTCAGAGAAGGCAGCACAAGGCTTTGTGTCACCTCCAGGGTCTCGGGGGTCAGGCTCCATCCACCTGTTCCTCTACCCTACTGGGATCCTCCCTCCTTGAGGTCTCCTCTCAGAGTCTATAGAATTGGCAGAAAGAAGGGTCTGTGGGGAGAGGAAAGCACGCTTGGCTGACCTGAAGCCTTGGGGTAGCTCCCCGATGTTGCTTCTGCTATGAATCTAGCACTGCCTGCAAAACAGATATGTGGCTACACCAGGTATGAGAAAACCCATAGGCAGGACGCGTGCTGCATTCTCTATCCTAGAGCACAGGTGGTCCCACGTGCATGCCAGTACTGTCCACCTAAACTGGTAACATGGTACTACAGAGGGTCCCCTTTTCTCCTGATGGGTCTTTATGGCCTGGGCTCTGGGTAGCCTGATAGGGGACTGAAGCTGTGGGGTTGGGCCTGGGGACCAGGGACCCTGCCTTCCTCCTCAACACATGGGGCTGCCCAGGCCCTGCTCCTGGGGCCAAAAACACATACCCCAAAGATACTGGCATCCAGGGCCTCTAGGGTCTGAGAAGGTACATGCATTCCCAGCTACAGTTGGTACCAGGTCTGTTCTGCTGGTCCCTGCCACAGCTTTGCCCCAGATTCATCCAGCACAGTTCATAGCTTTACAACTAACTTCCCACCAGTCCCCATTAAAACCAGGAGGAAGGCTTAGTTGTCATCATCCTTGACTTTCTCATGGTAGAAATAGATACGTGGCTTTGAGCTGAAGATAAGTACAGGCCCCAAACCCTAGTGCTCAGACCCACAGGCCCTTGTGGAGGGCAGCCTGCACCCTGGGTGAGAGTTTATAGGTGCCCTCAGCCCAGAGGGTCCCCCACCTCTTAAGATACAAACCGAAAGCCAGGGAGGCCTCTCACAAGTATAGACCTTTCCAGCTGGCAGAGCTCACCTAAGCCATCTGCCTAACAACCTTTTTAGATCCAGTCTGGCCACCCAGAAGGACCAGCCAACATCTCCTCCCAGGCCCACCCCTTTTCAGACAGATGCCAGGCCCTGGTAACAGGACCCTCAGCACATGTCCTCTTCTGAGGTCTCTGTCACAGTCACATGTCATCACCCTCCCTCCCACCAGGCTGGGTTCACCTGCCCTCAGCACGGCATGGTTTCAGCAGTGGGTAGAAGTGCTCCTAGTTTAAAAGGGGTGTGATGCTCATTCAGAGCTGACATGACCTCCACCACAGCCCAGGCTACCCTGATGGACCCCAGCACTGTCCCAGGCTGCCAGTCTCCAAGGGCAGAGACCTCACACCATTAGGCCCAGAACATTCTCCCTTAACATGGGCACACTCTCAAGAATGTGCACCCACATTGCTAACAGGTGACCTTCAGCCCTGGGAAGGTAAGGGAGGAGGGCTCAGGACATTCCAGATGTAGGACATGTCCAATATTTTCCATCCTAGAGGGCAGGGTCACATCAGCACTACTGGGTTCTGGTCAGCTACAGATGCCCCCTCTAGCAAACCAGGGCCAGAGATGCCCTGGTTCCCTGAAGGTCCCACCTCCATGTCTCTCAGCCTTCATAGCCTCCACAAGTTGGCAATGGGGCTGGTATGGTAGATGCCAGGACTCCTGGAAGGGGGGTGGTGCCTAGAATTTCATTCCTCATAATTCTCCCAAACGTATTTTTTAAAATATATTTTTATTTGTAGATGGACACAATATCTTTATTTATTTTTATGTGGTGCTGAGGATGGAACCCAGTGCCTCATGTGTGAGAGGCAAGTGCAACCCCCACCCCGCCCCCCCACCCTCGCCCCCGCAAACATATTTTTGTTGATACTCAAAATGACAAAAACATCCATCTTCAAAGCCCAACAACTGAAAGCATACTTGATTACCAAAATCAGTAACATTTAGAAACAAATTTGAACAGAGTGCCTGAACAAATCACATTTTGATTTAGTATAAAATGCACTAAAGCTTCTAAAAATGGCAAATTAAATTGCTTTGGATCAAAAGCAAAGCAGGGGGGCTGGGGTTGTAGCTCAGTGGTAGAACACTTGCCTCGCAATCATGAGGCCCTGGGTTCGATCCTCAGCACCACATAAAAATAAATAAATAAATAGATAAATAATAAATAAAGGTATTGTGTCCATCTACAATTAAAAAAATAAAATTAAATAAACAAAAAAGCAAAGCAGGAGAGGAGGTGTTGGCCCAGCCATTTCTGTCCCAACCCCCCTCTCACCACAGTGTGGTACCCAGGCTGCTCCCTTCTCCCCTAGGGTGTCAGTGCTACACTGGGCACAGGCTCTAGGTTTGGGGACCCCAAACTGATGGTGAGTTTCCCTATCTCCTCAGAGAATTCCACATATTGCCCATTGACATCCAGAGGCTGCTTCATCCCGATTACTGACCCTCCAAGGCCCCTTTTTTACTTAAGGGGCAGGTTCAAATCTCCATGCGGCTGGCCTTCTGATCCACTATGCCTCATATGGGGCCACAGCAAATGTGACATTAATGCAGGTAAGTTAACTTATCTCTCTCTTTTTCTAATATTTATTTTTTGGTTGGACACAATATCTTTATTTATTTATTTTTATGTGGTGCTGAGAATGGAACCCAGGGCCTCGCACTTGCTAGGCGAGTGCTCTACCTCTGAGCCACAACCCCAGCCCCAAGTTAATTTATCTCTAAATGCCTGTCATGTCAAGTCTAAATCCAAGAGGGGATACCCAGACCAGACTGACTAGGCCTGCCAACCTTATCCCTAGGAACCAACTGGTGCCTCAATAAAGAGGACTCCTCTCTCCTCTCGACAGCTGTTTTGTTCCCAACTCCTTGGGAACCCCTCAGCCCAGGCTGAAGGGCAAGGACCCCAACTTGACACCTTTATGCAGGGTCAGAGGGATACACTCTGGGAGTCAGCAGGCACAGGCAGGAAAAAACACTGCAGACCAACCCCATCCTTGCATTCCTTCAGGTCACCATACTGCACGCAGTTCTCTCCACCTGTCCATCTCTGTCACCCTGGTTCCTTCCTCCAGGAGACGGACTTGGATCTGCCTTTTCCCTTGCTGCTACAGACTTGTTCAGACAACCCCAGGGCTGAGTACACCTCCGTTTCTTGAGCAAATAATCCCAGAATAACGACGGTTTGCCAGGCTCGAAGGGAGAAGGCGAAGCCACCGCGGGAACAAAACACAACGGCATTGCCATCTCAGCACCGGGTGTTATGATAATCCACTGCCTGGGCTGGTGCCTCTGCATCCTTCCCCTCGGTCTTGCCCAGAGGACCGGACAAAGACCCTCCAGAGGCGATGGTATCAAGTCTCGGTACCGCACATTGCACAACCTCCATGCCCCTAGGCCCGGGCCTGTCAGCCGCCAAACTGGCTTCCTTTCCCTTCTCCCAAGAGCCTGAGCGCTGTGCACTGCGGTTCCCTCTACCTGGCGCGCCCTCCCAAACAGGTTCCAGCAGCAAAGTCACCTCCTCGGTGACGTCTTCCCTTCTGCCCTTCAAGCTCCTGGCGTAGCCTGGCCGTACCGGCAGCCTGCCGCACCCACCCACAGAGTTCTTCCCGCGCAGAGGCCGCGTCTATACGGTCACCCGTACACCACTAGCGATTTTTGACCGCACGAACCCACACCCCGCACGGGCTGCCGCTCTGAACTGCCTCGGCTCCGCAGGACCCCACCGCTTGCCTCCTAAGGCCGAAGCGCCGCGAGCCCCGCCTCGCCCGCCGCGGGACAACCTCAGGCTCGGAACCGCGCGGCGACTGCGCCGGCGCAGGAGAAGGGTGGGCCACGCCATGTTAACTCCCGCCGCGCCGGTCCGCGAGTCATCCCCGCGGCCCTCCAAGCGCCAGCGAGGCTCTGGTCTGTCCGCTCCAGAGTGCGCGCAACCAGCCGGGAGCAGCCCCAAAGGTTCTCTAAGCCGAAAAAACCATGAGCGCCTCCAGCGCCACTACCTACAAACAGCCATGGCCCTTTAACACTTTGCCGTTCGTGCCCAGTGGCTGGTACGTTTACGTCATCGCTGCGCGCCGGAAAGGCAGTACCTTCCCGCTCCTTAATCTGACGAAATAGCGGCGCCGGCCTCAGCGGCTGAGGAGAGCAGAAGGAGGTGGCGGCGGCGGGAAGATGTAAGTTTGGGGTGGAATCCGACTGCATCCGAGCTTCTGGGGTCGCCTGCAAGGCCCAGAGGGGTGCATCGTGGAGCCGGCCTATTCCACAGCCCTGCAGTGTGGAGCGGCCTGGCGGCGCGGCACAGAATACAGGGAAAAAGAGTGTAGCCCTGGGCGGGCGGAGTGGGAGGTGTCTAGGTTGTGGCCCGGAAGTGGTTGGGGCCGCAGCGGATGCAAGGGCAACCCCGTTTTGTCCGGTCGGCGGCGGCCCAACCAGGCCCGCCGAACTCAGGGCGGCTGGGAGCGCGGCCTCTGTGATAGGGGCCCTCCCGCCGAACCGGTGACCCAAGCCCGCCACGCTGGGCCTTGCCTGGGGAGTGGCGAGGAAACCAACGAGGTCGGCGTGTCGGCCCAAGCCGACGGGGCGGAATTGCTTTGTGGGACGTGCTGAAGGCCACTGGCTCCTTTGGGAGACGTTAATTCAAATATTCACTCCGAGAACGTTTACTGAGTCTCTATGTACCCTTCTCGGCGCTAGGCTTTGAGGGTTCGGCCCACTGTGCACCGAGCTCCCAAAGGAGGATGCGGGAAGGTTAGGTCGACGGCGGAAGTACGTGGAGTAGGCTTTTTCTGCCTTTGTTATTTCGCATGTGTCTGAAATGTGCTTTTACACGGGGAGGGTGCTCTGAAGATTTGTGCTGAAACACCATCTGCTCGAGATTTAACTAATTGTTCTCTCCTCTCTCTGGCTGTTGGACGCGCACCTTTCCGGAGGATGGGGAAGGTAACCAAGGTCCTGAGCTGTTACCTGAACTTGTATGAACAGAGAACCTCAACCTTTGCTTTCTAGCACTCGGCCACACCCAGCAAAGCCTTCGCTTACTTGTGGTTCTAAATTTTTTTTTAGAGTGCTTACAAATACCGGTGGTGCTTGTTTCACTGAGTACATTCAGCCAGATGTTTGGGGGAGGGGGACTCTGGAATCAAAGTTTGTGATCTCTACTCTATATCTGTGCTGTCCAGTAAGGGGTAGCCATTGGCTGTGGAGGACTTGAAATAAAGCTAACTCAAACCAAAATGTTAAAGTACCCACCAGATCTCGAAGACTTATTATGAAAAAAGGAAAATTTTTATATTGGTCATAAGTAATATTTTGGACATGCTATGTTTAAATATACTTTTAATTAATTTCACCTATTTAGGAAATTTCTGGTTGTTCTCATGGCTCACACTTTTTCTATTGGACAGTGCTGGTCTAAGTAATCCTAAAGGGGGCTCTTCAGAGACCCCAGTTGATTATTCCCAAATGTGGGTAACTTTGGAGACAAGAATGGATATGGGGGTCTGGGGTTGTGGCTTAGTGGTAGAGCACTTGCGTAGCATGTGTGAGGTACTGGGTTCCATTCTCAGCACTGCGTATAAATAATAAAGGTCCTTTGACCCCCCCAAAATTTTTTTTTGTTTAAGAGTGGATATGGGAAAGAACCTCCAGATGTGGAGAAATGGCTCTTCTAATTTGCTAACATTTCCTGCTCCTAACCTGAGTGCCATGTCAAGATTCATGGATTAATTTGGTTAATGCCCTTGATAATTTTTTAAGGTGGGAACTGTAATTATCAACATATTGCTGATGAAAAACCTCAAAAAAGAAGCCTGGCGCATTGGCACACACCTGTAATCCCAGTGTCTCGGGAGGCTGAGGCAGGAGGATCGCAAGTTCAAAGCCAGCCTCAGTGAAAGCAAGAGGCCAAACAACTCAGTGAAACCCTGTCTCTAAATTACAAAACAGGGCTGGGGATGTGGCTCAGTGGTTGAGTGCCCCTGAGTTCAATCCCTGGTACCAAAAAAAAAAAAAAAAAAACCTGCCCAAGATTTACACAGCACAACCTAGGCATGCTGATTACAGGCTCTTAGCCACTGGTTTATACCCACTGATTGCCCAAGAACACTAATCTAATCAGGTGCTGCCTGCTGGTTATATATAGTATATTGTTTTAAGACAGAGCAATTTGAAAGGAGTTTACAGCCAACACCCGTGCACAAGTGAAAACTGTACCAGAAAAGTGTGCTGTGTCCACCCTAGTTATGGGATTTGGGGGAAGCGAAGCAGGAGAAATGAGGCCTTTGCTTATAACTCACTTGTGGAAAATTGAAAATGCATCAGTCCTCGGAAAGTAGGGCATATGAAGAATTAGCAGTGTGGTTCTGTGTGTGTGTGTGTTGCTAAAGATTGAACCCAGGGCCTTGTACATGCAAGACGAGCACTCTACCAACTGAGCTATTGCCCCATCCTAAGCAGTGTTTTGATTTATCAATCTGTTACCATTATCAAGCACTTGCTGCAGTCCAGGTACTTTGGTAAACCCTTATGTGGCATACAGTTTCTCACCTAATCCAGTGTCTACTTCTTTCCCCCAACATTTTTGTATATATATCCAAAAGATTGAAAGGATTTCAATTGTGCCCACATGACCATGTCCTAGATTCTGCAAGTCACATTTAGACCACATTTGCTTTATTGTTTAGCTACTCATCACTCACTTTTTCTTTCTTGTGACTTAATAACCTCAGTCAACACACATAATAGTGTAGATCATTAACAAAAGTTCCATGTTTGCAATAACTGCTTTTTAATGCTTCTGTAGGATATTTTGTCCAATTGGATATTAATGTTCATTGCTTGTGCTGGTCACTTTTGAAATAGTTTTTGCCTCCAATCATATTATTATCCAATGTCTCCCAAAAGGAAATAAATTAAGAGGTCTGATCCTATCAGGAGAACCACATTCAAGTTAGGTCTTTCTCTACTCTGAACTCTTAATGTGATGCTATAGTGTTTTGAAAGGATTAGAGCGCTTGTCATCAAACTGGTGTTTTGTGACCTCTAAAATAACAGTGGTGAGTGCAGCCACCACCCCCATCTCCCTAAGAAGCTGAGGTAACTGTCCACCTGAGCCTCCTGTAGGGATGGAGAATCCCCCAAGAAGAAAGGGGGACTGTCCTGAGTGCTCCCATTTGTGGCACTTGATGCTTACTGTGTTCCCTTGCTGCTTTCTCGTATGCTCAACTTTTTATTGCAAAGTGGATTTGTTGCCTTGCCAATTCGTTCACTCTTTATTTAAATCCTTTTATCTTGTTATTAGGCTGCTCTTTGGCGTAAATTGCAATCGATTAGGGATCGTTTCTCAGACTCAAGTTAGAAGTGAGAGTTCAGATAAGTGAGGCCGCCATTCCTGCTTTGAACACCTCAAGGGGAGAATGGATTTATCAGGAGTGAAAAAGAAGAGCTTGCTAGGAGTCAAAGAAAATAATAAAAAGTCCAGCACTAGGTAATCCTTCTGTAAGATTTTTCTAGTGCTACTTTGGGGGTGCTCGTTGCCAGGGACCCTCAGAAAGGGGAAGATTGAAAATGTTATGCATTCCACAGTGAGTGTCCTAATCCACAGATCATTTGCTGTGTGATCACATGGGATTTCTTGCCCTTTTGGACCCCTCTTTTGGGTTGTGCTATTGTTTCAGGGTTTGATCAGAGGAACATGCAATCTCACACTTTTCCTCACCACCTAGGGCTCCTTCTCCTACCAAACGCAAGGACCGCTCTGATGAGAAGTCCAAGGATCGCTCTAAAGACAAAGGGACCACCAAGGAGTCAAGCGAGAAGGACCGTGGCAGGGATAAGACTCGGAAGAGGCGCAGTGCTTCCAGTGGAAGCAGTAGTACCAGGTGAGGCAGAGGCTGCTGCAATAGCCAAATCCTCCTTCCCCATTAAACCCACAGTTAGAAAGCAGCCATACTCTTCAGTTATTATAGAGATCCTAAATCATAGCATGCTGGTTTGGAGTCTGCTCTGGTTATATACAGAAGGTGTATTTGGGTGTGTGCCCCACCCCGTTTCCTGCAAGATCTGAGGAATGAGACATTTAGGGTATGTTTTTCTGAATAAGTGTATCTTATTCAGAATTGTGTTTGAGCAGCTCTAGCCTAGAGCTTATTTTTCAGTAGTTGAGTTGCTAAAGCTGGCCTCAAATTTTGTGATCCTCCTGTCTCAGCCTCTTGTGTCTCTGGGATTAAAAGCATGTAGTACCTCACATGGATAGTTTTCAGTAATTGAGAACCAGCCTGAAGCAAGACATGGTGGCACACGCTTATAATTCCAGCAATCAGGAGGCTGAAATAGGAGGATCATGAGTTTGAGGCCAACCTTAAAAGGGCTGAGAATGAAACTCAGTTATAAAGCACTGCTGGGTTCAATCCTCCATATCAAAAAAGAAAACCAGCCAGGTGTTGTGGCACATGCCTGATCCTCGTAGCTCAGAAGGCTGAGGCAGGAGGATCACAAGTTAAAGCCAGCTTCAGCATCTTAGCAAGATGCTTTCTCTAAATAAATATTTTAAAAAGGTCTGCAGATGTGGCTCGGTGTTTAAGGGCCCCTGGGTTCAATCCCCCGTACTAAAAAAGAAAAGAAAACCAGCCTGAGTGTATCCATAGGCCCCCTTCCCAAGCCAAGGTGATTGTTCTGGCTTGATACATTTCTCCTTTACCTCCTAGTAAGGAAGGCTTCTGTGTAGGTGAAGTATCCCATCCCTGCATTTCCTGTCACTGCGTAGTACCGTGACCTGTCTGGGCAAGGTACATTTTCCCTACTGGGAAAAATAGTTGAGACAAAAAGACACAGGCAGCAATTTCCACTTCTAGGGAATTTGCTGTGGAGAAATGTGATTACCACTCATTGTCACCTTGACTGTTCCACCTTGCCTTCAGGTCTCGGTCCAGTTCCACCTCCAGCTCAGGATCCAGTACCAGCACAGGCTCAAGTAGTGGCTCCAGCTCTTCCTCTGCATCCAGCCGCTCGGGAAGCTCCAGTACATCCCGCAGCTCCAGTTCCAGCAGTTCCTCTGGATCTCCCAGCCCTTCTCGGCGCAGACACGACAACAGGCGGCGCTCCCGCTCCAAGTGAGTGCCCCAAACCAGGGCTGTACCTTTACTATGGTCGTTAGAAAGAGTCTAGCTTAGGGGTTGTGGTTCAGTGGTAGAGCACTCGCCTCGCACTTGTGAGACCCTGGGTTCGAAAGAGTCTAGCTTAATTGGATTTGAGACAAGGAAAACTTATATGAACTGGTAGGAGGCTTCCCTGTAAAAACTGTTACATAAGCAGGTAAATATCCCACCAAAGGGAGTCCAGTTCTTTGTTGTTGATTGGGGGAGGCAGTGTGGAGTACTAAATCCAGGGCCTTGCACAAACTATGCTTACGCTGGACCACTGTGTTACACCTACAGCCCAAATCCAGTACACTTTGGCTTGACAGAAATTGTTTCTGTTATCTTTCAGATCTAAGCCACCTAAAAGAGATGAAAAGGAAAGGAAAAGGCGGAGCCCTTCCCCTAAACCTACCAAAGTGCATATTGGAAGACTCACCAGGAATGTGACCAAGGTGAGATCATGGATCTGTTGGGAGGTAGGGGCAGTGGGATATAGACAGGTCAGTGGCAGCAGGTGGCTTTCAGAATACTGGTGTGGTTAGTTCCATTGAATAAACGTGTCCAGGAGATATCTCAGAATGACTGGCTTTTATCAGAGAGCAGAATGTTTTTACACTGCTGAAGTATGTGGTGAATTCCAGCTCTTATTAAATAATTGGTCGGTGAGCGCATGAGCAGGACCCTTCTTTCCCTCTAGGATCACATCATGGAGATATTTTCTACCTATGGAAAAATTAAAATGATTGACATGCCTGTGGAAAGGATGCATCCTCATCTATCCAAAGGCTATGCATATGTGGAGTTTGAGAATCCAGATGAAGCTGAGAAGGCACTGAAGCACATGGATGGAGGTAGGTGACTCTGCCACCAGCTTTGACCTTCCTGCTTCTGTCCTCAGAGACCTGTTACCAATAGGGACCTTTCAGGCTGATTTCCACCCAGCTGCACTTAAATCTGACTATAGTTCCTTCAGGATCCCATCTTTGATTCATTGGGGGCATGTTTACCCAAAAAACCTATTTCATGAACTTTTGGGGGGTGTTCAGCAACTATGAATATGTTGCCATTTTTAAGAGATTTTCAGTCTGTTAAACGTGATCAAATGAAGCTTTTCTTATGAAGAAAACATTTAATTTTTTGAGTCCAGGGTAGTGGCACACACCTGTAATCCCAGCAATTTGGAAAACTGAGGCAGGAGGATCACAGGTTCAAAGCCAACCTCAGCAATTTAGCAAAGCCCTAAGCAACTTAGCAAGACTCTGTCTCAAAATATAGGGGTTATGGGCTGGGTATGTAGCTCAGTAGAGCCCCTGGATTCAATCCCTAGTGTACCCCACTACTTTTGGCTTTTTATGTGGGAATATTTTAATTTCTAAGAATCGTTTTCTATTTTGCCAACATTTTGGCATTTCTGAGGTTAAGTAGTTGTGTTGAGCAGAGTGGTTTTTAAATTTTATGAACACTTACAAATAGTTCTGGGTAACCAATTTCTATTTTGTCTTTAAGTTAGTATTTTAAGAAAGATGGCATGTCTGTCTAGCTTCCTACTACTGTGATAGGGAAGCTAGGGCTGAGAACAGGCAGCCCACGGTATTGTCTGGGCCTGCAGGCCAGGATGTGGAAAAGTCTGAATGCCCTAGAACCTCAAGTCCCCTGGGATCCTGGGATAAACTTCATGATAGTTTAATAGGGCTATTTATTTATGGTAATTGCCTTTGAGCACTGATAGAGGTTGAGTATTAGGAAGATTCTCCTTGATACTTAGCCAATTTCTCTTTCAATTTACTTAAGTCCCTCTTAAATGTTTTAGGAACTCAGGATAGAGTCTGAGCACTTGCTAATTAGCTAGAAATTCCGGAGACTTGGACATCCAGGGTAGGCATGACTGTAAAAATTCTAATTTAAGATTGTGGTAGGATTTTGTGTGTGTTCCCCAATTGTGCTATACATCATCAAATGGAGCAAGTCCACAATGTCTCCAGGAGATTTGAAGGGGTTGGCCTTTACTGGCAGCTGGCCAGAAATAGATTTGTCTGTTTAGAAAATAGAAAGTGGTTCTCAGAAATTAAATATTCCCACATAAAAAGTGTGGGGGCGGGGCACACTGGGGATTGAACCCAGGGGCTCGACTGAGCTACATCCCCAGCCCTCAACCCATATATTTTGACTATAAAGTCAGTGCTGTGAAATCCTTTTCTTAAGCCTCTTGAATATGAATACAAGTCAGTCTGTCCTGAGTTAGCCCCTGGGTACCTTGCAAGGTAGGAGCTGAGAAGACAAAAGGCCTTTGGGGGCTGGGACTGAAGCTCAGTGGCACAGCACTTGCCTGAAATGTTCCATCCTTAGCACCACATAAAAATAAATAAAGGCATTCTGTCTATCTACAAGTACAAAAAAAAAATTGTTTTTTAAAAGGCCTTTTTGTAGGCTGGAGTTCTGATCAGTGGTAGAGTGCTTGCCTCACATGTGGAAGGCACTGGGTTCGATCCTCAGCACCACATAAAATAAAATAAAGGTATTGTGTCCATCTACAACTAAAATAAATAAATAAATATAATATTAAGGCCTTTGTGGACTCAGGTACCCCCAGCTGTGGGGACAGTTGCCAGAGGTTACTAGATCTGTACCTCAGTTACCTTTGCACTTCTGGTGCTTCCATGCTGTGCTGCCTCCCCTTGCTTCTTGTGCCATTGTATGTACACACACTGTGCAGTTATCTCCTGAGACTTCTTTCATGCTGTTCCCCACTAGAATTCCACCTCTCAGATAATCCATCACATGAGTTCTGGAGGTTTACTTCTCAATAAATTCTTTCCTTTCCTTCCCTTTGCTTGAGTATCAATTCATCTTGGTGCCTTGCCTAAGATAGGTGCTTGTTAGGAATTATATGACTTTATCTTTTTTCAATAGGACAAATTGATGGCCAGGAGATTACTGCTACTGCTGTGTTGGCCCCCTGGCCTAGGCCACCCCCCAGGCGATTCAGCCCTCCCAGGAGAATGCTGCCGCCACCTCCCATGTGGCGTAGGTCACCCCCACGGATGAGGAGGAGGTAGGTCGATTTGAAGGTTCACTGTACCCGTTGGGCCAGTGTGATTTACAAACTTAATTGACTTTGAGGCCCTTTATTCAGTGTTGCCCACCCTCTGCTGCTATTGAGGGAGAAGAGAGCAGGTTGACATGATGAGCCTTGGGAGCCTAACAGGGAAAGGAGAAGGGTAGTTGCAGTATGTGACAGTGACAGAAGAGGTCCTGGGAGTACACCAAGACTACATCCTGAGTCTGGTGAGCTACAAGGCCTTCCCAAGAGGCTTTAAATCCTAAGACCAGATGCAGGCCCTCTCCTTTTCCCAGATATAAAAAAGAGGAGGGGTTAGAAGATAGGAAGTTCGGGATCAGAGGACTAGTACAGATGTAATTCCCCTGACAGGGCCACAGTTTCTAATGTCAAAAAATAAAACCGGGGGCTGGGGATGTGGCTCAAGCGGTAGCACGCTCCCCTGGCATCCTCAGCACCACATACAAAACAAAGATATGTTGTGTCCGCCGATAACTAAAAAATAAATATTAAAATTTTCTCTCACTCTCTCTTAAATAAATAAATAAAACCAGGAAAAAGCCAGCTTTGCTCAGCACTTCTTCCTGGGGCTTTTGCTTTTGATGGTCTGACTTATTTTTTTCTCTTACTGCAGGTCACGCTCTCCAAGACGCAGGTCCCCCATGCGCAGGCGGTCCCGCTCTCCAGGCCGCCGCCGCCACAGAAGCCGCTCCAGTTCAAATTCCTCGCGATAAATAGGGCCACCGAAGCTCATCTATACCTTATATTCCACCCAGCTCAGTTGTGTCACTTTTCTAGCTGAAGGAGGGTCAGCAGAAAAGACTCCCTCATTTGGCAGGCTTCAAAAGCAGCAGTTGAGGCCTTTCCTCTGCAGGCAGATTCTGACTGCAGAAGTGCTCATGGTTCAGGGCTATGTCCATTGAGGGGCCCTGCAGTTTTCTGGCTAGAGAGCTCACCCATTCCTGTTCCTAAGTCTGTTCAGTGGCACAGCCAGCAGGGATCAGCAAGTTTCCAGGTGGCAGTGTGGCTCAGCTTTTTCAGAGATGACCTGAGCTAGTCTGGCAAACCTGGTTAGTGCCCTTGCTGATGCTGTGCTATGTCTGCAGGGGACCAACCTGCCATTCCTGTTAGGCCTGGCCTCCCCCACACACACTTGAATTCTCTTCCAACCTCTAGGGTTGTCCTCCCACCTGTTAATTGCTGTACATGGTTCTGGCTTTCCATCTCGTCTCCACCCCTCTGCCCCACATATCCCTTACTCTCAAATTGGTGAGCAAGTTGAGAGCCAGCTCTGCAAGGTCATTACAGAGCCCCCTGTTCTGACTGCCATTGGTGGTGGTCTTGCAGGATACCTTGGCAACGTGTATATTGCTTTTTTTTTTTTTCCCCCTCATTGTACAGTCAGTACTATAAAATTTGTTTTTGAGTTTTGTAACTTTGTAGCATTTTAGATAAGGTTGTGTTTGTACTTTGTTGTGTAGAGTGATGAAAACGAATTGAATAAACCTAGGATTAGAATGCAGATTGAATGCTGGTTTCACTGCCTCTGCCTGTCCTTCAATACCCAGAAGTCTCAGTGGTGATCTCTAGTGCCTGACAAAATGAGAACCAAAGCTTTGTTTTGTTCCCAAATGACACCTTCAAATGCTTCCAGCCTGCAGAAGAGCCTGGAGTGTTAGTTGCTCCTGAGGGTGTGGGACGGGAAAGGGGCGTTTCTACCGCCCGGACTCTGCTACAGCATTAGTAGCTATGGGAGAGCCTCCTTTACCTCGATGGGTTCTTGTCACCGGGAGAAATGGAGATTCTCAGGGAATGAGGAGCAAAACTGAGCACGCCCACCTCTACCAGGCCATGCACTGCCCGCACAGATAGGACCGCCTCTGTCGGCCCTCTTGGTGTCCCGCGCTGCGCCCAGCTCCGCCCAGCTCTGGGCCTGCGGGGCGGGGCCGGCGGGAGGAGGAGCCTTGGCCAGGGAGGTTGGGCCGCACCCGGCGCCGCGACCCAGCGCCCACTCAATATGGCGCTGGCAGCGGGAAGGCGCGTCCCTGCGCGCGCCCTGCTCTACGCGGGTGCGTGCGGCAGGGGGGGTGCCATTGGTGGTGGTCTTGGTGCCACTGGTGGGGCTAGGGGCCGGGGCGGGGCGGACGGAGCGCTCACCGACCCCGCACTTGTTCGCAGGTGCCCGGCTCGGGCGCACGCAGGTGATGGGCGGCGGCGGGGACGGCGCTCGGCGCTTCGCGAACCACCAGGTGCTGGTGGAGCCGGACGCGGCCACAGGTGAGCGAGCGGGCGGGCCCGGGTCGCCCCGCCCGGCGACCTGCGGCGGGGCGCAGCAAGCCTGCGCCGTGCCCCGGGTGCCTCGCTGAAAGGTCGCCCGGCGCGCACGCTGGCGGGTTTCCCAGCGCGCGCTCGTGTTCTGTTTAAAACTCACTCCACCGAGGAGGTAGGTGGTCTTGCTCGTTATGAAGACGAAAGCGTTTCGATTTTTAAAGTTCGGGGGATGTGAGCTGTTAGCTAAGCTATTAGTTGAGAGTGACTGGAAGAGTTTTAGAATATTTTCATTTTTCTTACGACTCCAATCTGGCCAAAACGCGGCAAGCGCTTTGCTAATTAAAACCAGAAGCCACAAATGGAATCGCTCTATCCGCGTCAGAACACGTTGGAAAACTCCAGCAGGATACACAAAGCACTTTTGAAAGAGAAAGGCTTTCCTTCTACAGAGGAGGTAGAGCGGGGCGCAGAGCAGAGACTGACAAAATTTCACAGGACGGGCTGCAGCCCTGCAGGATCTCTGTGGGAAGCCACCTCCTCCTGCCCAAGATGGCCTTCAGCCCCGCCCACATTGAACCAGCGCCTGCAGGTCAAGGCCTCTGTTCCCTGCCCCTGTGCCCCCAACCTTGGTTCAGGTCTCCCGCGTTGGGGCTGTCTTAGCGAGAAGAGGGACTTGGGTTGGAGTCCAGCAGAAGGTCCATTTCTGTGACAGATGAATATATCACAAAAAGTGCAGAAAAGCACATTTTAAACTATTAGAATGGATAGCAGCAGCTGCACCACATGGTGAGACCACTGGATTTTACATTATTTTAACTTTTTTTTTTTTTAGTTGTAATTGGACACGGTACCTTTATTTATTTATTTTTATTTGGTGCTCGGGATCTATCCCAGAGCCTCGCACGTGCTAGGTGAGCACTCTACTGCTGAACCACAGCCCCTAGCCCCTAGATTATACATTTTTAAATGTCAAAAAAATGCTGGGGAGGTAGCTCAGTGGTAAGCACCCCTCAGATCCCCAGGAACGCCCCTCCCCCCCAGAAAAGAAACTGGGGCTGAGGTGTTACCAGATACAATTTTTTTTTAGTACATTTTTATTTTACTCTTTCAGTTCAAAGACTAAATAGAAGATTCCGTAATGGAAAATGCTTCCTTTGAGCTCCTACTTTTTAACTTCATTAATCTTCAAAATGAACATCCTAAAGAATAAGCAGTGAGACTTAATGTGAACCTCACAGACACAGAAAATAAATGAGATTCTTTCAGTCTTGGTGAAAGTCCTTTTGCTGCACATTCAATGGTTGCAAACAGAATTCATCCTGAAGGACGAAGAGCTTCTGGCCTATTTTGCCATTCCCACAACATTGCATAACAGGGGTATTTTAGATTTACTTTCCTCTGAAAAAAATGCAGCACAAACTGTAGCATCCTCAAGGTCCTAGGTTCAGTCCCTAGCACCCAAAGATCTATATCTTAGGGCAGCTAGGGCTAGCAGTCCTGGTATTGTGCTTGTGTTTGCTAGCTTATGGAGGAGATTTAAAGGGATGCCCATCTGTAGATGCACAGAGATAATAAGCTCCAAGTGCCTTCTCATGCCACCATGTGAGAGCCTACCAATGTCCTTGTTTTAATGTGACAAGAAGAAGAGTTACAGGTCAGCCAGGCCTGGCTCAGTTCCTACTAACAGAAAAGCCAGATGAGAAGTAGATATACTAAGGTTCCTTTTTCCTTCAGGGCAAACACTTGCAAAAAGTAATGGGACAAACCTGCTTTAAAAATGTTTTTAATGGGGCTTGGGCTATAACTCAGTGGCAGAGTACTTTCCTAGCACATGTGATACACTGGTTTCAATCCTCAGCAGGACCACATGTAAATAAATAAAAGTATTCTTTCCATCTACAACAAAAAATATATATGTATATCTATATCTATATATATAGATATCTATATCCATCTATATATATAGATATCTATATGTATCTATATATATATATATATATATATATATATATTTTTTTTTTTTTTTTACATTTTTAAGCCAAGTGCAGTGGCACACATCTGTAATCCCAGCAGCTCAGGAGGCTGAGGCAGGAGGATCAGAAGTTTGAGGCCAGCTTCAGCAATTTAGCAAGGCCCTAGCAACTTAGGAGACCCTGTCTCAAAATAAAAAGGGCTGGGAAGGGGTCATGGCTCAGTGGTGGAGCACTTGCCTTGCGTGTGTGCAGGGTTTGATTCTCGGCACCACATATAGATAGGGGTTCATTGACAACTAAAAAAATGTTTCATAAAAAATAAAAAGGGCTGGGGATGGGGCTTCGTAGTTAAGCACCCCTGGGTTCAATCCCTAGTACTGACCCCTACAAAAAAAATTTTTAAGAGCCGTATTGAAGTTGATTCTAGATTCTGTTGAGCCTGTCATTCAAAAAGCATTTGTCTGTTACCTACTTTGTGCCAGGAATTTGGTTATGTGTTTACTTACCGTGTGATGGCTAAGTTCTTCCAAATCTCTTTAGCTCATGTTCACCTTTGGCCTCTTTTCCTTTTCCTCCAGTGTTGGACTCTGCCCAACCTCAGAGTCCATTTCAGAAACTTCCCTCCCAACCAAGGTTGGGGGTGCTTCTTTCTTTTTTGTACACCTGTAGCTGGATAATAATTACCTCTTCCTTATAAATCCAAGTCTCCAAAAGAGCCCATTTGCCACCAAGACTTAGTTTCCATTCCCAGAGAAAAGTCTGTGTTGACAAACCAGAGACTGAAGTCCTCATTGAGAAATGCTCCTTAAATGAGTGTGGTATTCCAGGAGTTCTGAGGGCCTGCCCTTCGGGCAGGAGGTGAGAACAGGTAACTGGAGCCATTGCAGCCACAATGTCCCAAGGATGAGTAAGGATATCTGACCCCTACATTTCAATCCCTGTCCCTAGGTGAATGTGACCTGAGCCCCCACTAGTGTTTCTCCTTGCTCATCTGTTTCTCAGATTTCTCTGTCGCTCCTCAAGGAACTAAGGCTGTGTTCCAGGAGGACTCAGGACTTGCTATTAGAAAAAAAGAAAAAGGGGGAATGAAGCATGTTGATGAGGTACAAACGGGGCAGATACAGCACAGGCTGGTGAGAACAGCCACAGAGAGCTGTGACCCACTGTCCTTTCATACAAGGTCAGAGTCCTGGCCCAGATCCCTAGGAGGTGATCTTCATTGACTCTCACTGTTCTGGAAGCTTGGGGCAGAACATGAAGAGGCACTTACTTCCTGCCCAGAATGGAAATGACAGGCAGCTGGATGGTGTTGGATTAGATTTCAGGACAGATTTTTAGTTTTGAGGTAAACCTTTACTTCTAACTGGAGTCCTTGCCAGAGAGCCATGTCTGCATTCGAGTGGGGCTTCCTTAAATCAGGTGAAGGGGCTGAACCTCAGTGCCCACTAGCAGGTTCACGCATGAGTGCACTCACTTCTGGGAGCCTGAGGCACGTTGTCCCCAAAGACAAGGTGTGCCCAGGGCTGCTGGGCACCTGGAAGACAGTGATTGCATTGTGTCCTGGGGCTGCAAGTACAAAGTACCACACACTAAGAGACTTAAGTGACAAGAAATATTCTCACAGTTATGGAGTCGAGAAGTTTAAAGTTAAGGTGGCAGCAAAACCGAACACCCTCTGGGGGCTTGGTGGAAGAATCTTCCTGCCCCTGCCGGCCCCTGGTGCTGCTGCAGTCCTTGGTTCATTGGCTTCAGACTCATCGCTGCAGTTGCTGCTTTCCCGTGGTCTACTCCTTTCTCGTGGTCTACTCCTTTCCCATGGTCTACTCCAAGTCTCTCCTCTTACAGGGACACAGTCCTGTTGGACCAAGGGCGAGTAAGACCTGCTCCTAGCTTACATCCCAATGACATCAGCAAAGCACTCTTTCCTCAAAGCTCATCCTAGGGTAGCATCTGGTACTCGGTGCCTGCCCACAGTGAGCTTCATTTCACAGGCCCAGGGCCTCCTGATCACATGCACAGGAAGCAGCTGACAGGACTTCAGCGTGTCTGTTTAAGGACACACAGTTCAGCCACAGCAGCTCTGAAGCTAGGCTGTGGGGAGACCACCCAGGGGACCCCATCCTCCTTTCTCCAGCCCTTTTTGAGACATAGTCACAGTGAGTTACTTAGGCTGGTCTTTGAATCTGTGATGATCCTGACTCAGCATCCTGAGTGGTTGGGATTACAGGTGTGTATCACTGCTCCTGGCAGTATTTTTACAGTTTTGTTTTTTAAAGTTGTTTTTTGTTGGTCTTCATGAAAGGAAAGCAGATGCCAAGTTTTGTTTTGTTTTTTTTTAATATATATTTTTAGTTGTTGATGGACCTTTATTTAATTTATGTATTTATTTATTTATATGTGGTGCTGAGAATCGAACCCAGTGCCTCAAACATGCTAGGCAAATGCTCTACCACTGAGCCACAATCCCAACCCCCAACTTTTAACTGTTAAAATGATGTAGAGGGCTGGGGCTGGGGCTCAGCAGTAGAGCGCTCGCCTAGCACAGGTGGGACCCGGGTTCGATCCTCAGCACCACATAAAAATAAAAGGCATTGTGTTGTGTCCATCTACACCTAAAAATAAATATTTTTAAAAAATAAATAAATAAGTGAAATAAAGATATTGTGTCCAACTACAACTAAAAAATAAATGTTTAAAAAGTAATAATAAAAATTTTAAAAATGGTGTGGGGATTGCTTGTTAGGACAAAACGGTATTTTAACAGTACAGGCATTACTGTAGGACAGACGGGACCAATTCCTACCTCCCCACCTTGCTTTTGTGGGGCTCATCCACATGTCTGGGTATCCCATCTCCCTGATTTCCCCAAGGGTCTCTGCTCAGCACTTTTCCTTCCCAGAGTCAGGGAGCTCTCGACACCATCAGCAGGCAGCATGCCACACAAAGCCACAGAGGCCCCAGGGACCCTGACATGAGCCTGCAGAGTGCACACTCTGGGCAAGGATGGGCCTGGAAGGCAGATGGAGATGGAAAGGGGACCTCCAGGGTGTCATGCCCCAGAGCTGGGCCATAGGCACTGTGGGCTTATCCTAGGGTAGCATCTGGTACTCGGTGCCTGCCCACAGTGAGCTTCATTTCACAGGCCCAGGGCCTCCTGATCAGCCAGCTTAGGGACTGGAAGTTACTAGCAGGGCCATGCTTCACATCCTCACCTTTCCCACCCTGAGTCCCAACTTCTTGGGGTCCCTGACCTCTGTAGCACACAGTAATCTGAGAATGGCAGGGATGGGGCCTGTAGTCCTGATGATGAGGACTGTCCCTTCTCCCTTCCTCAGGACCAGATGCATCATTCATGTTTAGTACACATTTGGTCTGTCCATGTCTGACACAGGTATCCAGGATGTGTCTCTCCCTGTCACAGGACCCAAGGAGAAGAGGCAGCTCCCAGCACCTTCATCCTCAAGGGTTCTGATGACAGTATGCAGGGGACTTGAGGTCTTGTTCATATATGAAATACCAGTGCAACCAGGCATGATCCCAGCCACTTGGGAGGCCAAGGCAGAAGGATTGCAAGTTCCAGACCAGCCTCAGCACTTTAACAAGGCCCTAAGCAGCTTAGTGAGACCCTATCTCAAATGAAAGGGCTGGGATGTAGCTTAGTGGTAAAGCTCCTCTGGGTTCAATCCCCAGTACTGCAAACAACAACTACAGCTTTGTTTGGCAGAATTTCCAATGTGATCCAGCAATTTCACGTCGAGGCATATATCCAAGAGAAGTGAAAACAGGCATTTTTAAAGAAAATGTGTGCATACATGTTCATCACTGCATTGTTTAATAACCCAAAAAGGGAACAACCCAAGCATCTGTCAGCCAAGAATAAGCCAGGTGTGCTCTTCCCACACAGTGGCACGTTCCTCAAGTTCAGACATTAATGAGCTAACCATGGTTGTGCATGCCAAAGATACTAGCTACTCTGGAGGCTGAGGCAGGAGGATGGAAAATGTTGAGCCTGCCCAGGATTACAGGCATGTGTCATGGGGCCTGGCTCACTTGTTTTTAATTTTTTTTTAATAGTATATGGACATAACACCTTTATTTTATTTGTTTTTATGTGGTGCTAAGAATTGAACCCAATGCCTCACATGTGCTAGGCAAGTGCTTTACCACTGAGCCACAGCCCCAGACACTGGCTCACCTGTTTTTAAAACCTCAGACCATGAGGCTCCCCGTGGCTGGGCCAAGGGTGGAGCCTGTCGGTTTCTGCTGGTGCTGGGTGTAAGGCTCCTCTTCCTTGTTCTTCCAGGGGTTGCTGTGATGAAGCTGAGGAACCCCCCGGTGAACAGTCTCAGCCTGGAGCTTCTGACAGAGTTCGTCATCAGCCTGGAGAAGCTGGAGAACGACAAGACCTTCCGCGGCGTCATCATAACATCGGTAGGTACTTGTCCAGGGCCCATGTCCTCTGGGCCCAGGGGAATCTGGAAGAGGCTGAAGTCTCCAGGGAGCACAGATACCATGACGACAGTGTGCCCAGGCAGGGCGTCTCCTGAAGACAGGATAGGCCACTCACGCAATGGCAGAGCTGGGGAGCCATGGTGCTCAGCAACCAGGGCCAGAACCATGTGAGGACGAGAGATTTCAGAAGGGGAAGCCTCATGCTTAGGCTGCCTCATGGGGAAGCAACTCTGAGCTAACTTGGTGGCAGGCTCCTGGATGCCTCGGACCAGGCCACTGGCACATGAATCCTGAGAGCCACCTATTACCTTTGGTGGGTCTCAGGTCACACTCTCAGGACAAACTTTTTCATTTATTATTTTTATGTGGTGCTGAGGATCGAACCCAGGGCCTCACACATGGTAGGCAAGAGCTCTACCACTGAGCTACAGCCCCAGCCCCATGGACAAACTTTTTCCATCTGAATCCTTGAGGGAAGCTCAGCATTGTCTCCAAGTGTATACACAGATGACTCAGGAATGGCATCCATGGAAACTGTCACTAAGGCCAGGAGGGGTGGTAGGAGCCCATGAAGGAGCATGTGTAGTGGTTGTGACAGTCCACTGAGGCCTGACCTCTGGCTGCACTGGGGACCTTAATGAGGGATGTCATGTCCCTGCTTGGTGCCAGGACTGGGAGTCACAGCATGGAACCACTGGGGCCACCTTTCAAATGAAGAGGCATACAGCACAAGTGTCCTCCAAAGCTAATGCACTGTGGTGCAGGGCCCAGGCCAGCAGCCATTGGACTTCTTTTCCCTGTGGTTGGGAAAGGTTCAGGAAGCAGATAGCCTGGCAGGTACCTGCCTTTTTAAGCCCTCAGGTAGTCCTGGTCGTGGCCACTGTTGTCACAGCCCCAAAGGGCCAGGCATCCTCTTGCAGGGGAAAGATCACCACCAAGGACAGGCCTATGAAGTCTCTGGGCTGGCCTGACGTGCCCCTGTGGAGTGGAGCTGCAGAGTGAAGGCTCCCTCTGGCTGTGAGGAGAGGTGCTCTGTGCTCTGTGCAGGACTCACTCATGAGGCAGAGTGTGAGCCTCTGGAAACTCCAAAGAGCACCTGGATGTAGTGCCGCTGGCCAGCGACCCTAACTCCTCAGGAGGCTGAAGAAGGAAGTTCATGTGTTCACATCCAGCTTCAGGAACGTAGTGAGGCCCTTCTCAGAAGGACTGGGGACGTAGTAGAGTGCCCTGGGTTCCAGGCCCAGTATGGAAGGAAGCCTCCCCCTACCAGCTTTCCAACAATTGCAGATGACCTGCACAGGAACCTTTCACCTGGATGACCCCTGAAGTAGCCCCATTCCATATGTCATGTCAGCATGACATTGTCTTTTTTTTTTTTTTTTTAATTGGTTATTCAAAAGACATTGTCTTTATTGTGCTCTAAAAATGAGAGAGTGCCCTGTCACCAAATGTAGGACCTTCCAAACAAAATAGGAGAGCTGCACCTTACCAAGACCTGACCCATGCAAAGAGTGGGTGCTGTGTGCTGTGCCTGCTGCCTCCCCATTCCCAAAGTCATTGTGCTGAGCAGGGGCCGCCATCTCTCCCTGCACAGCCAGTGCATTTGTGGTGTGTGCATAGCACGAGTCCGGGCCCAAAGTGGGCACTTGGCTAATGATCATGGAATGGCCTGTCAGTGTCCTGTGGCTGCCTTGAGGTGACATAAGCAATAGGAATTTACCTTCAAGGTTCCAAAGGCCAGTAATTCAGAATCGCAGTGCCAGCAGGGCTGGTTTTCTCTGGAGGCTCCCCGAGATAATCCTTTGCCTCTCTCCTAGCTCTTAGTGGCTCCTAGGTTCCCTGACTTGGGGTAGTGTTACTCTGATCTCTCCTGTCTTCACATAGCCTCTTTCTCTGTGTGTCCAAATGTCCCTCTTCTTATGAGGATGCCTGTCATTGGATTTAAGACCCACCCTAATCCTGTCTGGCCTCCTCATAACTTGATAGTATCTTAAAGACCCTGTTTCTCTTCCTCTGGAGAGAATGTGTGTTCCTTGCTCCACCCCAAAGGTGCCTCTCTTGATGGCCCCTCTTCTCCTTTGACTGTGTATCTACTTTCCTAAATAAACCTCTGTTAAAAAAAAAAAAAAAAAAAAAAGACCTGTTTCCACATAAGGCCACATTCAAGGATATTGGTTGTTTTTGTTTTGTTTTTTATCCTGCCAAATTGTTGTCACCCCTTCTGCCTTGTCCCCTCTGCTGTCTTCTGCAGCCAGCACAGGGGTTGTCTTGAGGGTTCCCATATACCTATTCCCCAGTAGAAGCAGTTGATTAGTGTATCAGTCACTAATCTTTTCGTCTTTGTTGGCTCTTTTTAAGTTACAGAAGTGGAATGCATTTCACGGGAACAGAAGCAGATCAGCCCAGGCGTATCATGCACACACGATACATGTCTACCTGTTGAGGGGGCTCGCTCCACACCTTGTGGCCACTTTCCTTCATACCTCTATGTCTTCCTGGTTACACATGGCACAGGGCAGACACTTGTCCAGCTGTGCTCCTGGGAGTTGGGGTGGGGTGGGTATGCCCCATAACAAGTCTTCCACCCCAGAAGCCAGAAGCTCCAGCCCATAGAGAGGAAGTGCTGAGGCCTCAGAGGAGCACCAGGTGAGGGTTTTCCCCAAATCCTTGACCAAATGCAGGATTCGGTGCAGACCCTGATGCACGCTACTGTCCAGCCAGGAACTTCTCTTCCACTCCTGGGTAGCTGTGTTGGGACCTCCACTGCAGATGCCTTCTAGATTATTCTACCCCCAGCACTTCTTGGGCCTCATTTGATACTTTGGAGGTAAACAAAAACATGTACCCCCTCCAGGGTCTGTCAGGAGCCCTTACTCTACCTGAGTTCTTCAGTCTGAATGACAGAGAACTTGGCCTGGGGAGGTGAACACACAGGTGTGCACAGAGTCGTGCACAGACATGCAGAGAGCATGTGTGCCAAGATATACACAAGTGTGTGCACACACCTGCAGAGAGCTGGTAGGTCCATGTCTCTGAGGCAGTGCCAGACCCCTGTTCTGTCTTTTCCAGTTTGAAACTGAGAAGTGGAAGCTGGGTTCAGGGGGAGGTCTAGGCTCTTTGCGGGCAGCATCCTGCCACCTTGAGCATCACATCTAGGCCCTGGCCACTCCCCCCAGGACCGTCCTGGCATCTTCTCAGCTGGCCTGGACCTGACAGAGATGTGCGGGAAGAACCCAGCCCACTACGCTGAGTACTGGAAGGCTGTGCAGGAGTTGTGGCTAAGGCTGTACCCATCCAACCTGGTGCTGGTTGCCGCCATCAATGTGAGTGTACCCACCCCACAGGGTCATCAGTGGCTCTTTGGGACCAACCTAGGGTGGGGGGCCAATACCACCTGGGCCAGAAATGGAAAAAGACCCACCCAGGGCTAGGGTAGTGGCTCAGCAGTAGAGCGTTCACCTAGCACATTTGAGGCCCTGGGTTGGATCCTCAGCACCACATAAAACAATAAATAAATAAATAAAATAAAGGTATAAAAAAAGTGTATCTTAAAGCAAGAAAGAAAAAAAAAGACCCACCCGCTGCAGGCTGGGTCTGGAGGGAGTGGTGGGCCAAATCTACATTTTGGAAACATTGTTCAGCCAGTCTTGGGGAAGACAAGAGGCTGCAGAAGGGGACAGGGTCATCTTCAGGAATCATTGTGCTCCAGGGGATGGCTGAGATCACCCAGCAGGCGGGAGAGGGAGTAAAGGGAGGGAAGAGATGCTGGTGGCATAGTATAAATTTGGGGTTCCTGGGGAAAGCCACTTATTTTCCTAACCAGAGGTTTAGGAAGAGTGATTTTTCTAGCAGGGCATGGTGGCACAAGCCTGTAATCACCAGCTATTTGAGAGGCTGAGGCAGGAGGTTCAAAAGTTTGAGGCCAACTTGGGAAACTTAACAAGACTGTCTCAAAATAAAAGAGGCTGGGGGTGTAGGTGAGTAGTAGAGTGCTAGACTGGGTTCAGTGCGAGGCCCTTGGTTCATCTCCAGTACCAACAACAAGAAGTTAACAAGTGTTTTTCTGGCCCCTGAAAACCTGAGCCCCTGCAGAAACCCTTGCTACTGAGCCCTAAAGGGCCAGTTTCTTCTCTCCGTCATGCACTTTCAAGGCAGATTGTTGATGCAGCACCCAAGGAGGGGGTGCTGGGGTACCCTGTGAGCTCATGCCCACCCCCAGGCCCTTCCTGGGGTATCCTGGGGCATCCTTGGGCCCTGGCCCCCTAGGGGACTGTTGGGACAGCAGCACCTCCAGAGCCCTCACTGTCTGGCCTCTCCCTGCAGGGAGCCTCCCCCGCTGGAGGCTGCTTGATGTCCCTTGCCTGCGACTACCGCATACTGGCGGACAACCCCAAGTATGTCATAGGACTAAACGAGACCCTGCTGGGCATCATAGCCCCTTTCTGGTAAGGCCAGGACTGTTCCCACACTACTTGACCCTGGACCGAACACACCCTCCTTGGAGCCCCAGAGTAAGCAGGCATCTGCATTCCAGGTTCAAAGACACCCTGGTGAATACCATCGGGCACCGAGCCTCAGAGCGTGCTCTACAGCTGGGGCTGCTTTTCCCACCAGCAGAGGCCCTCCAGGTGGGTATGGTGGACCAGGTGGTGCCTGAGGATCAGGTGCAGAGCACAGCACTCTCGGTGATGAGCCAGTGGATGGCCATTCCAGGTGAGGAGCAAGGGGAGCCGAGCAGGACTGCAGCCCCTCCCTCTACCTTCTCCTCCCCTCAGACGACCCATCTGGTGAGGTCAGCTCTGTGAACGTCCTGAACGTGTGCAGGGCTGCTCACAACAGCAGGCTGTGTTGGTGCCCTGGGGCTGCCATGACACAGGACCATCTAAGTGGCTTGAAGCCACAGAAAATTTACTCTCATGATCCTAGAGACGAGGTCCAAAATCAAAGTGCCATCAGAGCTCTACCAGCAGCTGGACAGGCAGGTGGCTGCAGGCATTCCTCAGCTGTGGCTGCATTGCTCCAGTCTGCCTACTTCCTCTTGTGGCCTTGTCCCCCATGTCTCAGATCTTCCTCTCTCCCCTCAGGGCACCTGCCATCAGATTAGGGCCTTCTCTGTATCCAGGATGATCTCATCTTTATTTATTTTCGCAGTGCTGGGGGTGGAACCCAGGTCTCACAAGCCTGTACCCCTGGGCCACACCCCAGCCTTTGGGTCTCATCTCATTTATAGCTGCAGAGGTTTTTTTCCATGAAGGTTACTTCGCACATTCTGGAATGGGGTCAGGTCTTGGGCAGTAAGGTCACTTGGCAGGTTCTGGAGTGGGGTTGGAACTTGGGCAGTAAGGTCACTTCGCAGGTTCTGGAGTGGGGGTCAGGACTTGAGCAGTCTTTTGGGGGTCCCACTGCTCTTCAGTCCACTACAAAGACAAAGGGAATCTCCCAGTCTGTTTATAGAAATAGGGTTGGTCACCTCAACCATGATACAGAGCAGGGACCATAGACCTTGTCCGTGAAGAGCCAGGCTGTTGGTCAGCGTGAGAGGCCACAGGCCCTGTCAAGTGGCCCTGCAGCAGGAGGGCACCCCAGGGAGCAGGAGCTGGTGGCTGCAGCTATGTTCCAGTGAAGTGCAGGACACAAAATGAGTATCTCATACTTCTGTCATCATATGATATCCTTTCTTTTTTTTCCTACTATTTAAAAATGTAAAGACCATTCATATCTCTAGAGCCAGTGGGGGCCCCCCGTCTCTTGGGAAGCCAGTTTGCCACCTCCCAATAGGAACAAACAATGAATATTTAGTGACATGGAAAATATTCTCAATAGTAAAATTCTGTGAAAATAACAGGCTAAAAAGCAACTTTTACAATATCATCCTAATTGTGTTTTGGAGAAATCAGTGGAAACAGGTGACTTCCTTCTATTTATTTTGGGGGGCGGGGGCAGTGCCAGGGATTGAACACAAAGGCACTTAACCACTGAGCCATATCTCTGTCCCTTTTTTTATTTTTTGAGACAGAGTTTCTCTGTTGCTTAGGGCCTTTCTAAGTTACTGAAGCTGGCTTTGAACCTGTAATCCTCCTGTCTCAGCCTCCCAAGCCAATGGAATTACATGCGTGTGCCACCATGCTCAGCTCATCTGCGTTTTCTAAGTTCTCTAGAAGAGTTTCCATTTGAACACTCATAGAAAGATTGGGAATTATCCCACTATCTCCAAAAATGGGTTTTCACAGGGGATCCCATTTTCTTTAGACTACGCTCGACAGCTGACCAAGATCATGATGCGAAAGGCCACAGTGGACCACGTGATCAAACAGCGCGAGGCTGACCTCCAGAACTTTGTCAGCTTCATTTCCAGAGACTCCATCCAGAAATCCCTGCAGGTGTACTTAGAAAAACTCAAACAAAAGAGAGGCTAGGGTGAGGCTGCCACTTGGTCATTTGTGCCCTGTGGGGGGCCTAGTGGTCCCAAAGGGATTTTAAACAAGGTATTTTTTATTTTAAAAGTCCTCTTAGCTTTTGTTTTCCTCATCTTAGAAAGTCCTGCTCCTTGTAGCCCTGAGTCTCAAGGCCCCATCACCACCGATGGCCATGTTTCTGCCAGGTAGGCAGATAGGATCTATACTTTAGAACTGAATGACAGGTAGGCTGCTCAGGGCCCTGGACAAGGTCACACTGAGTGTCCCTTTTCCCAAAGGAAAACTGAATAAAGTCTTCACATTGTCCCATTCCTGACCTTTGGCTGCCTGCTTGTTGGAGACCTTCAAAGCTAGGTAGTCTCAGACCCCAGTGACCCACAAGACCACTGGAGAAAAGCTCTTGGCCACCATGCTTGTTCATTTGGATGGAGGGTCTGGACAAACTTGGGAGGGACAAGGGAAGCATGGCTTATTCTGAGGCATGTGGTGCTGCCAAGGTCCACATCTTTAGAATTTTCCTAATTCTCCAATCTTTCATCTTGAGATGAAAGATTCCCCTGCCATACAATTCAGTTGCATCCCCCAGTCCTGCCAGAATGAAGTGTCCCAACACCAGGAGCCTCCAGCCCTGCTCTTGGAGCTGCTCATCTGCTCCTGAGGTGATGCTTGTCCCACACAGGCCCCCATCCTCCAGGTCCCTGCTAGTCCAGGACTCCGAGGACCTACACAGGCTGTGCACAGGTGAGGTGTGTGTTCCTTGGGCAGGACCTTAGCCCCAAGCAACCAGCCCATCCTCAAGGCTCCCAAAAGTTGCAGGGGAGCTGACTGGCTAGAGCATGGGACCAGCTTCCTGAGTCTCCCCTGTAACATGGGGTGAAACAGGGCTTCTGGTTCAGATAAGGCTCCCGACGGCAAGATGGGCAGAGCTCTACTCTTAAATCAGAGGGCCCAGCTGTGCTCACAGTGTGGGTTTTTGCAGTTTGCACAAAGAGGAGGGAACTTCCTTGAGCTGACTTCCAGGCCAGCATGGTTTGGAAGTGGCCAGTTTCCATGAGGACATGACTTGGGCAGGCCAAGCTGTCCCTGTTCCCTAAGAGGCCAGAGATCATGGACCTAACCAGGTTGTAGGGCCAAGGCTTGCATCGAAGAAGGGCTAAGTCCTAAAAAGAGACAGAGGCCTCAGAGTCAGCCCAAGTGTGGTCCTGGCCCAGTGGCTTGTTTATTACCCAGACATGTTCCAGGCACTAGCTAGGCACCTTTGGAGGGTACTCCTCACAACAACGCTCTGAGGTAGGTGGTGTTAGCCCTTCTTACAGATGGGACACTGAGGCTCTGAGTAGTACTGTAATGTGACTGTGCCACCCTTTCACACCCAGCTGACCCTTCCCTGCGTTCATTCTTCTGCTACCCCAAATGATCCACAGTGCTACCAAGTCTGCAGGTGATGTGCCCTAGCCTAGCCACAGGGCTGTCAGTGGGACTTGAGGGTCACCTCCACTGGAAAATGGTCACTGATGGCAAGAGCCTGAAAGAAAAGGGGACAGAACTTCAGCCATCCTGCTAGGCAGCTTGTTTCCTGTCCCCCTCCCCTGAATTGGAGCCACCTGGGTGTCCTTCCCTGAGGCTATTCCCAAACTGGGGATGGGAGGCACACCCTGAAGGTCTAGGGATCCTTGACTGTGAGTGCCCTTGTAGGGTGGGAAGTGGTAACTGTAAACCGTCTGTCTGAAGCAGGAACAGACTGGCAGGCCCTCGCAACCATGTATGCCAGGGTCTTCCAGGCCCAGGGATGGGAACTGCCCCTGCCCGCACCGACCTGGGCCTGGTCCAGGCCAAACTCTTCCTGGAAGTCATGCACCGAGGCTGACTGAGGCTTCAGGCTCCTGCGCAAGTGGGCGCTGCACACCACGATGCGGTCATAGGCACAGTCGGAGTTGCCCACCGTGGTGTCAGCGCTGTCCGGGATGAGCCACTTGAAGACCTCACTGCTGCGCAGTCGGATGGCCGCCCAGTCCTGTGCCCGTACGTAGTTGCAGTCCGCATTGAAATCGCCCAGGAAAACCATGTCCTGTGGGCGCCACCAAGCTGGGTCTGAGCTGCATGCCCGCAGGCCCAGACTCCCAGAGCTCGCCTACGGGACGCGGGGCAGGGCGCGGGGCTTACGTCGGTGCCCCACTTGTCAATCAGGTCCAGGTACACGTCGTAGAGGGCGTCGATCTCTGCCACCGCCTGGTGTGGCGCAGCGTGCAGTGGAATCAACACCAGCTCCTTGACAGCTGTGGGGGCGGGGCGGTGTTAGGGCGGGAGGGGACAGGATGGGATGGGAGTAGGGGCGGAGCTGGCCTCACCGGTGGCGGGGACCGAGAACTTGACCACGAAAGGTTCGCGGCTGAAGGCGTCCTCGGGGTCCGGGTACTGGTAAGTGTCCACAACCGACACTTTGTCTTTCCTGGGAGCAGAGAACCGGCGGTCCACTGAGCCGGCCATCTTGGCCCCGCACGCCCCCTCCCTGCAGCCCACAAGCGCACCTGTAGATGAACAGGTACATTTCCTTGTACTGGTCCCGACCCAGAGGCTGGCTGCTCATGAAGCTGTATTCATGCTTTGACACGCTGTGGAGAGATGCCAGGCCCCAGGTCAAGGCATGAAGCCTGTCCTCGCAGCAAGGGGTCATGGTGCTAGACCCTGCCCACTGCACCTGTTGATCTGCTCCATGAGCGCTGACACTGCGCTCAGGTCCGGGTCACGCACCTCCTGTACCAGCATGATGTGGTAACCAGCCAGGATCTGGCGGAGGAGACCGCGGGTGCAGAGTTGTGAGCAGCCCCAAGGACTGGCCCACAAAGCCCAGCTGCAGCCCCGCCTCCAGCCCCCAAGCCTCACCTGCGCGATGATGCTGCCACAGGCTGGGTCAGACACTTTGCTGTCACCAAAGCTCTGGATGTTGAAGGCTCCAATGCGCAGCGCTGCTGCCCCTATGGCCCACAGTGCCCAGAGCATTGCCAGCAGGACCCGGGGCCTGCCCATGGCACCAGGGAGGTGGGCTGGAAAGGACAGATGGAATGGGCCAGCAACACCAATCCTCACCCAGCTATGGTCCAGGAGGGGTCTGTGACCCAGCACTGGCCTGAGCAAAAGCACATTCTACTGCACTTTCCAGGTCTCCTCAGAATGGGTTCTTAGCCCCATGACCAGTCTCCCACTGAATGGAGAAACTGAGGTCCCAAGTCAGGATGCCATTCCCACCCAGTCCCCAGTTCAACTCAGCCTCAAAACTTACCTGGATGTGGATAAGAGGCAGTGTCAGAGGCTCAGGGGTCCTGGTCCAAGGAGGGATACAGGTTCCTTCTGGGGGACTGTGGCTGGCCCTGGACAGACTTGCCCGGTCTTGGTTGACAACTGGCTCTGGCCCCAGGGCACTGGCTACTATTTGAGGCCCTGGTTCATGAAGGGGCTGGGCTATAACTGAGCCCCACCCCCTCCAGGGAGTGGATGCTACAACTCCTGACTCCCATTCTCATGGAGACCCCCCAGAGGGCAAGAGAAAGAACCCACCTTGAGCAAGTTCTAGTGCCCAGGTCTGTCCCAAAACATCCCCAAAGCCCCTGATAGCCCCCCCAAGGAAGTCTCAGGATTGTGGTAGAGGGACAGCCACACCCATGGTCCAGGCTTGTTCTTGTCTCCACCTTCCCAGAAACTAGGTCACCCAGTATCTGCCTTCTTGAGCCACATCCTCTTGGAACAGGCAGCACGACAGTAAAGACCAGTCCCATTCCTGGCCCAGCCTCTCTTGCTGCCTGGTCAGCACTGTCTTCACCTCCATGAAAAGCTGAGGCTTCTCAGCCCAACCTGAGGCTCCTGGTTCTCTCAGCCTTCCAAAGGCAGCTGTAGGTAGGAGGCTGGGAAGCAGCACCTGTCTCCTCCCCCTGCCCCAGGCCTGAGGAAGCTGGGATCACAAGTGGGCAGGGAGTGGCAGGAGGCTGCCCATCAACATACCAGAGACACCCACACACCATTGAGGCACCAGGGCTGGCAGAAGCCCTGAGTTACTGGCCAGGCACAGAAACCTAGAGGACTGCCTGGGCATATGGGGGCCACCAGCAGTACCTGTGAAGGCAGTACCAGGCCCCAACATCACAAGCTACATATTTTATTCATGTTTTATTGTAAAGAAACAAAAACCACATATTTACATTCCCCGTCTGATTTGAACACCTGAAATTCTGGGCAGTCTTCTCTACCAGGCCAGGCAGTCCTGGGCACTCAGGTCGGGACCAGTATAAGGATAACCCTGTCCCTTTCCCAGCCTAGCTGGGACCCCACAGGTCCCATGCTAGACGATGACCGTCTGTACCTCAAGCTGGCCCTCTGGTGAGGCAATGACCAGCTCGCCTGCATGCTCAAGGATCTCAATGTCCTCTGATGACACCATTGTTACAGTAGCCTGTTCAGTGCCGTTTGCACCTGTACGAGCCGCAAGCACAGTACCCTCACTGATGGCTGAGGCCAGTGTCATGGCCACCTGCTCAGTCAGGCTCTCGGGGGTGGCGATGGTGATCGTGTCTGCAGCAGCTGCCTCTGGACCCAGTCCTGCCTCCTGGTCCATGGTCACATTCTGCACGATGATCTGGTGCCCAGCGCTGGCCTGGTGCACGATCTGCTGCACCACCTTCATGATGTGGCTGTCCACCTGCAGGGCCACAGCTCAGCCCAAGGTGTCCAGGAGGCCAGGCTGCCCTCCCACTCCTTGCCAAGCCCCTCACCTCTGTCTGGGTGCCCTCAATGATCTCTGTGGCTTCAGTGGTCTCTGTGTCATCTGCAGTGGCCTGGGCAGAACATCTGAGGTCAGCTTGGGCTGTCCCAGTGCCATCCCAGCCCCACCAGGCCTGCCACGCACCTCGATGATGTACTCCTGGGTATCGGCCACCACAGATGAGAACTCTACCAGCACTGTGTGGGGGTCCTCCGCAAGCACAGTGGCAGCTGCTGAGGGGCTCTCTTCTGACACCAGCACCTCTTCCACCTCCAGAAGGCAACCCCCTGCCAGCAGGAAGCTCAGTCAGGGCTCAGTGACCCCCAGCCTCACCTCCTCCCACCATCTGCCAGCCCAGACCTTTGGTGCGCAGGTGCCGGTTAAGTGTGCCATGCTCAGCAAAACCACGGCCGCACTTGTAGCATTTGAAGGGCTTCTCGCCTGTGTGATGCCGCACATGCCGCACCAATGAGCCTTTCTCCCGGAATCCTCGGCTACAGAACTGGCACACATGTGGCTTCTCCTCCAAGTGTGTTCGGAAGTGCACTTGCTGGGCATTCTGC